TGGATACGAGACTTTCCAGCACCTGCATGACCCAGCCTGGAGGAAGAGAGACCAGAAGCGCATTGCTGCACAGAAGCAGGTGAGAGCTCTGGTCAAGGGGAAGCACGGGAGGCTTGGGTTGTGATCACTACATGCTCTGAGCCCTCATTGCTCATGTCGTCCCCTGCCAGCTCTCTGCTCCCTCCCCAGGCACTGGGTGCTTCCCACTTCCATCGTGGGCTGAACAGTCTTTCTATTCCCCAGGAGCAGTTTAAGGTGGATCGGGAGGGAGGTCTGAACAACGTGAGGTACCGAATCGAATCACGGACAGATCTGAGCGTGGCAGGAGCCCCTTGCACCGTCCTTAATATCTTGCTGGACTGTGACACAAATGAGACCCCCTGGTGCACGTTTGGCTGAGCCCGTCCCCGTGTGCCAGTCGTGTGCGCTGTGCTGATGCCAAGACTCCGGGGCTGCCGTGGAGCTGCTTGGAGCAGGCAGGATTTTGGCAGCAGATGAGCATGGCAGTGCTGGTGAGACACAGAGGAACAGACGAGGCTGAGAACTGGGTTTTGCTGGGACCAACAGGAAGAGACTGAGAGTGGGACTTGGTGGTGTTGCTGCTGATGCTGGTGCTGCCTCCCAGGGCAGGCACAGGAGGTGGTTTTCCTGTGCTGGACATGCCTGAGCTGCCACTCAGCTCAGAGGACAATAAAGAACTGTCAGGGCAGTTGTGAGTTGTGAATGCCCTGGGCTGTGCTGTACCACTCTGTTTTCCTGCTCACTTTACCTTCCTGGCTTCACTGGCTTGGCCCTGGGGGTGCTCTGTGTGACAGGCTGGGAGCTGCTCTGGTTCAGCGGCTGAGCCAGTCTGAAATGGGCTCTGAGTGAGATGGTGCCTGTTCCAGCTGCCAGGTACCCCCAGGGCTGGGCTTTGGTCACTCCACTGCAGGAAGTGGTTGTGGTTAAGCTGTGCCCTGAGCCCCAGGATCCACAGCCCTGCTGGATGTCAGCAGTTGTAGGCCAGGACCTTTCTTTGGAGTGAGGAGGAGAGTTCTGGCTTGAGCTGCTCCTCTTCTTGTCTGCCCTCTGTGGCATGTGCTGCCTCAGTTTGTCTCTGGAGGGGGTTGGAGAACTTGATGTCTCCCCAGAAGTGCTGAGGGGAACTGGGATCTGCTTTGGGCCCTGCATTCCCTGTCCTGGAAAGGACTGGCTGCCATACTCACTGCAGTGCTGGTGGAACTGGGGGGATGGTGTGGGTGAAGTGTGGAGATTGGGACAGTAACCCCCTAACCCACCCCTGAGCTGAGAGTAACAAGAGCTGCTGTGGGCAAGGCAGAGGCTGGGCCGTTCCTGTTGAGAGTGGGAACAGGGGGGTTTGGGTTGATGAAGAGAAGGCAAGTCTGGGGGTACCAGGCTGCAGCTTCCACCCGCTCACTCCAGCCACCTGGCACTGTCTCACTGCCAGGACAGTTTCTCCCATGTCATGGTAGGACAAGGACCTGGGTGGGGAAGTTGGGAAGGTCCCACTGGGTGAGAAGGGATGCTGGGGGCTGCCAGTTCTTAAGGTTTAGTAGAAATCAGCCACAGCAGCAGCTGTCTTCTGGGAATGTGTAGAGGTGGGCAGGAGGGGCCCTCAGGACCCGGCTATAGAGACCCAGTTGGGAGCAGCAGCTGTGGAGCAGCTCCTGGTTCACACCTGCTCATGCTGGGAATGAACAGACACTGTGGCCTCTGGGATGCTGCCGCTCACCCTCATCTGCTGAGGGTAGCAAATCCCTGATGACTCTCAAGGGAGACCCCTGCCAACACTGGGCTTCTCTCCTCCATCACCAGCCTGGCCTGGCCATGACTTTGGGCTGCTGTGTGGATGGAGCTGTGCCACTCCAGAGTGGAGGGTGCTCAGGCTGGCTGACTGATGGTGCCATGTGTGGGCCTGCACTGAGCTGGCTCTGGGGTTTTGGCTCATATTTTGGGTACTGCTGCCTCCTCAAGCTGGGTAGACCCCACTGAACAGCCAGTACCCCTCTGTTCAGCCCCGTTGCCAGCACTGGCACCAGGCCCTCTGCATTTCCTGGCCCCTTCTGTCCTCATCCCCTGCCTGGCGCTTCTCAGAGCGGTCTCTTTGCATTCTCAGACAGAAGCTGTCGCCATCTCAGGAAGACAAGCAGCTCTGGGGAGGAGTGCTGGGATGAAGGAGGCAGAAGCATCAGAGCCAATTGAGGGGGTCGTATACCATGTAGGGATGGGGTGTCTGGAGAGATCTGGTGCCATCTGCTCTCTGTGCTGCTCTGGAGCAGAGGAGTCTGGAGCCCTCAGAGGGGGTGTGAGGGGGCTGTCTCCACGGCAGGGGTCGTGGTGGCAATGCAGGGTGGTGAGGATCAGGCTGTGCTGCTTTGCATCATGGAAGGGGCAGACCCAGCCTTGAGGTGATGTGGGGATGTTCTGCCCAAGAGTTCCCATTGGCCTCTCCAGCCCAGTGGCCCCAAAGCAGCACTGATACCTAGCATGAAGATTGCTGGTCAGCTTGGACACCCAGTGTGCTGCTCTAGAGGTGTTCCCAGCACCACTCATGTCCCTTGCTGTGGGCAGCCAGAGGGAGACATCAGCCTAGCAGCCCCACTCCTGTCTCTCCATGGAGAGAGTGGGGTTTGGGATTGGCCACCTGTATTCCAGCCACTTCCTGGTGCCTGAACCACAGCCAGGGCTGGCAGAGGCAGATCAAAGTATTTCTCTACACCGTTCAAAATAGATGACACAATTTCGGGCAGGTTTCATGGAGACGTAGCTGTGCAGAAACAGAGCATATGTGCACCTCGCACTTTGCTCAGCGCTACAGGCTCCTCTCCCGCTGCCTGGCAGCTATTTCTCAGCTCTGCTCGCAGCCCCCTCACCCTCCAGTTGCTTTTGTGGAAGAGGCGCCGTGCTGGAGACCCGGCTTCCTTTTATAGCCCTGAATGTGACTCGGAGGTCGCTCAGCGCTGCTCCCCCCACGCACTTCGATATCAGCAATAGCCCAGCGGGAAGGGATGAAGTTTTTCCCCGTTGCCTTCCTGCAGATGGATAACACTCTGCCTGCTGACCCAGGAGTCCTGCAGAGCTGAGCCAGAGGCCTCCCAGCGTTCTCAGGCTCTCAGCAACCCTGAGGAGAGCATCAGAATGCTCAGGGGCAGAGAGGGCCCCTGGAGTCCCAGCCCTGCCCCTCTGCGACCCCCCCTTTCTGGGGTCCCAATTGCTGCCAGTGAGGCTGTGTGGGGGCTGCTGCAGGCGCAGCAATTGAAGGCTTTTATTGCTGGGTTGTTCTAAACCAGATGGTTCCGGAGCTGTTTGCTGGTGAAAACGTGAAATTGCTTTAGTATCCTGGGGGGGAGGATTGGGGGGTAAAGTGAGCAGAGAGTGGAGACTGGGGAAAAAATGATGGGAAGCAGGAGTATTTCTGCATGGGGGCATGGAGTGTCCCAGGCAGTGTGGGAGCTGCTGTCCTGGAGAGATGAGGTCGGGACACGGTGGAGCAGGAAACGGGGCAGACGGGAAGGAGGGGTGCGGCTGTGATCAGCACCCGTTGCAGTCAGCCCGGCATCACTGGAACCTGCCCGGTCCAAGCCCCGTGGGATGATGCCTGCCTCTGCAGGCTGCCGGTGGGGCCCCGTTAATGGCTGAGCTCCAGGCAGAGAGCTGGGGCATCGCAGACACATTCCTGGTACCAGCAGGGTGGGAAATGGCACCGTTGGGAAGGCCCCCCCATATTCAGAGGCCATATGTGCTGCCGCTCCGTCGTGCGGAGGGGAACAGGGGGCCGGAGGGAGCGGAGCGTGCCTTGGCAGCGCACCGAGGACACTGCCAGCATGTGAGCCCGGCGAGCAGGGACCGGGGACAGTGTGTGTGTGGGAGAGCACTGGCAGCACAGCTTGAGGACTCGGGTGTGCGGGGGGAGTAGCGGGGGGCTGGCAGCGAGCGGGGCCCCGGTGCGCGAGAGTGCCGGGTGCGTGCGTCCCCCAGGCTGGGGACGGTGCGGGTGCGATCCCTCCCTGGGGATAGACGGGCACCGCACCGTGGGGACCGGGCAGGGCTGCTGCTGGTGTCCTGCTCCACGAGGAGGCCGGGACGCCGGTGACCAGGGCCAGCCCGTGGCGAGATCCGCGCTCCCTGCGGCTGCCACGCTGCAATAGGCGTCAAGTGACAAAACCGGCTCCGGGCCAGGACGTGGCAGCGCTGATTCACAGGGATGGAGCGTGTCGCGTCTCGCTGGCGCCAGGCCAGGCGTTGGGGCAGGTGGGGTACACACCGTGCCCCCCGCGGCTTTGTGGGGCTCCTGCCCACCCGTGGGTGCTGCGAGGGGGGGCACTGGGTTGTCCTGCAAGAGGAGGGTGCAGGGGTTGTCCCACCGTGCTGAGACCCCTCTCCACTCCTCAGGTGCGAAGCAAAATATTTTTCTCCACCCTCGCCGGGCGATACCCGGTGACTCCAGCCCCGCGCTGCGGTGAGGGCCACCGGGGGCCGACTGGGCGCCGCTGCCGAGCCCGGAGCTGTAGCTCGGGGGGTTTGCGGGGGTCTCCCCGCGCTTTGGGCGGGGGTGTTTGCGCAAGGAGCGCTCAGCGCCGCACGCAGCCAGCCCGGCCTGCCCCGCCCCGCTGGTGGGCACGGCCGGGCCGCCCCCCTCCTTCCTCCTCCTCTTTCCTCCTCCTCCTCCTCCTTCCCGCCTCTCCCGTCCCACCGCCCCCGCGCCGCGATTTGCCGGTGCCGGCCCCGCCCGCCGCCCCGCGCGGCCGCGGCCGAGGGGCGCGTTCAAACGCGGCGAGGGAAGGAGCGCGGAGCGGAGCCGTGCGGGACCGCAGCGCCGCCGGCATGGTGAGTGCGGGGCCGGGGGCTCCCAGGGCACCCCATCCCCCTTCCCCGGTGCGCTCCGGCGAGCGGCGCTTTGTCCCGAGCTCGGCCCCGGGCACCGACCGCCCCCTCCGCCTTCCCCCGTGCCGGAAATTCCGGCGGGGCTGCGGGAGGCGCAGGGGGGGCTGTGCGGGGACCCGCGCTCGCCTTCCCGCAGCACCCCCTGCGCCTCCGTGCAGCCCCACCGTGCCCTCCCGCGTGGAGTGGGAAGGGGAAAGGATTTGTGGCAGTATCTTGCCCGGGCACGGCCGGGGTTGGGAACAGAAGGAGCCAGGCTGGCCGGACCGGTGTTTTGCCGCCTGGAGGGTGATCCCCTCCCTGCCGCAGGCAGGACGCCTTCGGGCTTCCCCGGCGTTTCCCAAGGCTCCCACAACCTGACCTACTTCCTCGGCCGCCTGTGCCGGGAGGAGCCGCTGCGGGGCTCGGCCGAGCTGCTCCCCCATGCCGGGGGCTGCACGAGCATCCACTCCCCTGCTGCACCACCATGGGAACATCCATATCCCTCATCCCCATGCACAGCCCGTGGCACCCCAGGCATGCCAGATCCTTCCAGAGAGTCCGTCCCTGGTGCCCTTCGTGGGGTGCTGATGCCCGGAGCAGGTGCTGGGCTCGCAGAGGGAGGTGACAGCGCAGGCCGGGAGCTGTCAGACAGGTTTGTGCGTGGCAGCAATTAAAACCGGGGTGTTTGTTTACGCGGCGCGTGGTGCTGAGAACCAGGGCAGCTTCCTGGGTGTAACCCGGCCCCGGAGCCCTCGGTGAGGCTGGGAGCCGTGCTGGGGGCTCTGCCTCGCCCCTGCCGCGCTCGCCGTGTCCCCTCCATTGGTGTGAGGTCATCATCCCCCTCCCTAGCGCTGGGGAGCCAGAGCCAAGGCCGAACGCATCCCCTCATCCTTCCTCCCCTGGCCACCTGCGCAGGAAGCTTCATTGTCCCGTCAGCATCCTGCCCCTTCCCACCGCCCTTGCGCCATGTCCGGCCACGGGGTCCCCAGCACGCACACCACAGCTGGGCTGTGGCTGCCTCATCCCTGCCTGGTGCTGGGGTGGAAATACCTGTGGATGGAGCGGGCCCGTGTGCAGCTCGCCCTGTGGGGTGCAGGAGCCCGTGCTATGTGGAAGTGTCCCCATGGTGCTGGAGAGGTACCTGTCACCTGCACACCCTGGGGAGGGCAGGCTGATGGGCATCCCCAGGGGTGTTACGGGGATTTCTCCAGAGGGTGTCCGGACCCAGAGGTCCCAGTGGGGCGGGTGGGTGCCGCTGGGCTGGGGCTGGCGCCAGGCCCAGGCAGGTGCTGCCGGCTCCTGAACTCGCCCGCCTGGCTGGGCGGCAGGTGCCTGTTCTGGTGGCAGCCCCGGCCGCGGGCGGGAGGTGGGGCTGGGTGTGGGAGGGAGGCGCTGCACCATGGTGGGGGCAGCAGTGGGGAGCTGGTGTGTGCTGTGCCCTGGCACCCCTTTGCTCTGCTCCCCCAGGGAGCTGCATGGGAGATAGCAGGTCTGTCCCACTGCCAGGAGCCCAGGTGGGCCCTTGGGGCTGGTTGGGAAGCGGGGGTGCAGGGCTTTCTCAGTCCCGATTGCCCACCATCACTGACTCTGTCTCTCCCCCAGCAGTGCTGGTACTGGGCTTTTCTCTAATTCTCCATGGCAGCAGCACAGGGTCCTGTGACCTGTGAGCCTGACACCCGTGTCCTCGGCACCTACCTCTCCTCGGAGCCCGTCGGCGTCGTTGGCAGCATGGGCAGCGTGGGCAGCCTGGTGGAGAAGCAGGATCTGTCCCCTCTGGAGCTGCGGGCCCCGCTGGGGGGCTCACGGGGGCTTCGGCAGCCTGATGGCTTGTTGCGGAAGGGGCCGAGCCAGCGGGAGCTCTTCGGGTACCTGCACGGGGCCAAGAAGGAGATGCGGTCGGAGCGGAAGCATCAGATGTCGGGTGCCTGCTACAAGAGGGACTACGAGAGTGACCGCGAGAACCGATCCCCCGAGCGCTGCTCCCGGGAGCATCACCGTGGGGCTGACTTCTCCAAGAGCTCCCTGCCGGAGCGGGGCCGCTTCGACAAGGTGAGGCTGTGGGCACTGTACGGAGTTATGGAATACATCCTGGTTTGTGAGAGGATGGGTTTGGAGCAGAACGGTCCATGCCCCCCTGGAAGGGATGTGGGGATTTGAAACCCCTGGCTGTGGGGGTTGTTGGGCTCATGCTGACTCTACTCTTGTTTTTCAGTGCCGTATCAGGCCCTCGGCCTTCAAGGCGGTGGCTGGGAAGGGGCTGGTCTCCATGCAGGGCCTGTCCTCATCCAAGGGGCAGAAGTTGTCCAAGAGCAATGGGAGCCTGCACACGCTGCTGTCGCAGAGTAGCACAGCAGCCCCACAGCATGGCCCGCTCCGCACCCACCTGCTCCACGCCATCAGCCTGGATGAGGCCTCTGACTCCAGCCACAACTCCATCCAGAGCTTCCCGTCCTACGGCTCCCGCCTCAAGCCTGCCCAGAGCCAGTTCAGCGCCTCCATGGGCCACATTAACCACATTGGGGGCTCCTTGGACAGGGTCTCCCGCAGCCCCAGGGACCCCCTGGCCCCTGAGAAGGTGCCCCTGTCCTGCAAAAGCATGGCCACTCTGAGCCGGCTGCAGAGCCCCGGTGAGCCCCCACCACCCTATGAGTTCTCCTACTCGCTGGAGGATGCGGTGAAGCAGCTGGAGGATCGGCTGCAGGAGACAGGAGGGGAACTGCGGCAGCTCAAGAGGAGCCTCAGCGAGACCGAAGACCCCTTCACGCAGGTGAGCGGCGGGGCTGGGGCAGTGCTGGGTGCCCTGGGCAGGGCTGTGGGACAGGGATGTCTAGGTGGAAGGAGCTGCTGTGGTGGGTGATAGGCTGGGAATGCCCAAGTGCCAGAGGACCCGACATCATGGGACCTTCTGGGGTCCCTCCCTGGGGCTGTAGACTCTGACCACTGTCCACCTGGCAGGTGTTTGAGGACAAGCAGCGGCTGTGGCTGGACGAGCTGGAGGACCTGAAGCAGATGTACATGGCCCGGCTGCAGCAGGTGATGCAGCAGGCACAGCGTGGGCAGCGGGCACTGCAGCTGCAGCTCTACAAGGCACAGCAGGAGAAGAAGCGGCTGCAGGAGGAGCTGAGTCTGCAGCAGTGCCAGTGTGAGGAGCCCAAGCTCCGACAGCCCCAGGGCGAGCGTGGCAGCCCCAAGCTGGAGGAGACCAAGTGGGAGGTGAGTCCCCTTCTTTCCCTCCCTGTTGCCACCCTCGTGGCTGTGGAGCCAGGATGGGCGCAACGGTTCCCTGCTCCAGTGTCACTCGTGGCCACAGGATGGGGGGGATTAGCCAGGAGTGATGTTCATGGTCCCCCAGGAGGACAATCTGGGGTGCTGCCACACCTGGGGTCCTGCTCCCCCTCCCTTCCTCACAGCTTGCCTGTGCCCTGCAGGTGTGCCAGAAGGCAGCAGAGATCTCCCTGCTGAAACAGCAGCTCCGGGACACCCAGGAGGAGATGGCTCAGAAGCTGGGTGAGATCTTCAGCCTGAAGACGCAGCTGCGGGAGGCCAAGGCGGAGGTCCAGGCCAGGGACTCCCAACTGGCACAGCTGGCAGACTCCTTCCAGAGTCCCCCAGAGCCCAGCACCTCGATGCCTCTGGGTGACGACCCCATGCCGTCGTGCCAGGACTTCCCTGGCTGCGAAACTGATGACTCCAAGTGCCGGGGCCTCCACAGCGACTCGGCGGAGCCCCTGGAGCGGCAGGTGGAGTGGCTGTGGGCAGAGCTGCTGCGGGAGCGGCGTCAGGGCCAGCTGCAGGCTGTGAACTTTGAGCTGGAGAGGAAAACGTGGCAGGAGGAGAAGGAGAAGGTGCTGCGGTACCAGCGGGAGCTCCAGGCCAGCTACATGGAGATGTACCACCGGAGCCAGGCGCTGGAGCGGGAGCTGCGACAGCTGCGGTCGGAGTCCAGGGAGGTCGGGACTGACTCGCCCTGGATCGAGCGGGTGGAGTCCTCGAAGATCTGAGGGATGGGATGCCAGTGGGACTGTGAAGGGGGAACATCTCTTGGTGCTGCAGTGGGACGATCTCAGGGTGTGCACAAGGACTGGCCGCTCATCGCTGCCCTGGGCCGAAGGACCGATTGCAACAAGGGAGCTTTTCCTTCTTGCAGCGCTTCAGGCCCTTCTGGAGGGGGTCTCTGGAGAGCAGTGGGGCCATCTGTGCCAGGGTAGGGGTCTTGCATGTGCCCCATGCTCTGACTCTGGGAGCGTTTGCCCTGTGATTCCTTCTGCCATGGGGGCAGAAACCAAGCGCCCTGTGAAACATTCCCTGTCCCTCCTGCTCTGCTGTCCCTGTTCCCGCAACCCAGTAACTTAATGTCTTGTGAGGAGGGGCTTGAGCCCTGTCCCCACCCCACTACCTTGCTGTGGGACTTCCACCTGCTGCTCGCAGTGGCCACCTTGTCAGCATGGCCCTGGAGCTGCTGGTGCCACTAGGAAGGCAGAGGAGGAAACCTGATGAGTGCTGGTACTGCTGGGAGGGGGCAGCTGCCCCAGCACCTCTGCTGGGGCTTCCCATGTCCCCATTGTGGCTCTGCAATGGAGGTGATTGATGCAGCTTCCCTCGGGCTGAGAGGGGCGCGTGCCTTGTGCAGGGAGGGATGGAAACTGGTGCCCTGTCACACTGGGAGGAATTGGGGGGGGAATAGAACATGTGGGCAGGGATGTGCTGGAGCTGGGGAAGAGACTGGGGTCTCCCCTTGCAGGGTGGGTAAGGGAGAGCTGGGGGAGCTCCAAGGCGCTGGGAGGAAGGAGCCCTGCTCTGTGTCTGTAACAGCAGAGCCACATGAAGGCCAGGCCCGACCTCACACCCCGTTCCTGCAATAAACCTGTATTTCTCTCTCCCGGCCTTTGCTTCCCTCGGGGTCGGGGGGGGGGGATTCCGACTGCGTGGGTAGGGGCTGCGGGCTGGCCTGGGCCTGCCCAGTGTGGGGCCCCGCCCCAGCACCGCCTGGCCGGGGTGGGCGGTACAACCAGTCGAGGCCTCGAGGTGCGGTGACTCACACGAGGGCCAGGGGTGGCGCCCCTGGAGTGGTTCAATGCAGCTGTGGACCCCCAACCTTCCTGCCCCGAGCACCAGGACCACGTCCTACAAACCCACAGACATCTTTATTCACCCGCACAGTGCTCCCCACCCCCCCCAGTCAGTGCTCTCGGTGGTGTCCCCACAAACCGTGCCATGTGGCCCCTGGGCAGGGGCACAGGGACCTGTCACAGCCCTGCAGGGCACAGCCAGTCCGCGGCTCTTCACAGTGGTAGGGGAAGGGATGACACCTCCTCCAGACACTCGTCGTAGGCCTCCTGGTACTCCTCGTGAGGCTTGATCAGGATGGCACAGGTCGGGCGCTTGGAGCCAGCTGCAGCTCCCAGGTCCTGTGGGAACAATGAGGCCATGCTTGCCAGACGATCAACCCAAAGCCCTCTGGACTTGTGCTGGGGTTCAAGAGCCCTTTTCTCAGCTTGTGTCCTACAAGCTGGAAGCAAAGCCCTGGGCTGGCACCTGGCACAAGGGGCTGGCACTTGGCTCACGTGCCATGCTTCTTCCTCAGAGCAGGATCTGCAGAGCTGCCTGCACGAGGCTGACACTCCAAAGACACCTCCCCCTGCTCCCAACTCCCAGCCTACAAAGGGGGTACTGGCTGCATCTCACAACTGAGGAAGGAAAAACTGTCGTGGCTGTGTCCCAGAGAGCTCCTGTCTCTGATATCCCACAGGGATCGTGGCAAACAGTTCTGTGATCCCATAGTGAAACCCTCCTGCACCTCCCCTATGTCCGTTCTGTGGCAAGCACCAGGTTCTTTATCGGTCCCTAGATCTGCACCACCCCAGGATGGCTCCAGTCACAGCCTGGACTCCTCACGGGGGCTGCTTCCCCCCACAACACTCACCGATTTTGAAGGGACGTAAGCGTAGGGGAGGCTCCTGTCCTCGCACATGATGGGAAGGTGGCAGTACACATCGATGGGCAGCGTGTCCCCAGCCAGCACCGTGATCCTGCGGGGAGAGCCGTGTCAGTGGCGGGGCTGCGCCACAGGGGCCGGGGGCTGGGGCCGCACTTACCCCTTCTCGCCCTTGTTGATGAACTTCTGCACCTCCTTCACACCGCGGCGGATCTGCTTGTGCTTGGCCGCTGCAAGAGAACCACTGCGTGAGGGGCTGCCCCACGCCACCGCCATGCCCCGGCCCGGCCCCGCCCCCGCCATGTGCCGGCGCCGCCAGACCTTTCCTGATGCACTTGTAAAGCTTCCGCGTGAGCTTGCGGGATGCGAGGGGCTGCGCGATGGGGTTGAGGAAGTCGAGCTGCTCCCGGTACGAGCGCTCCGGGGCCGCCTCCTCCTCGGCCGCCGCCTCGGGCTTGTCCCGCGCCATGGCAGCGCCGGCCGCTTCCGCTGCCGGGGCGCGCGGCTCTCCGCTCCCCGCCAGCCAATCGGCAGCTGCGCTCGCACTGACAGACAGCAGCACTGGCCAATGGCAAAGCGCTCCTTTACCGGCTTCTCCCCCGCGGATCGCGGCTCCGCCCTCCGCCCCACAGCCCCGGCTCCAGCCCCAGCCGCCAGTCCCAGCCCCGGTTCCAGCCCCAACCCTGGCTCCGGCCCCAACACCAGTTCCAACCCCGGCTCCAGCCCCAACGCCAGTCCCAGCCCCAATCCCAGTTCCAACCCCAATCCCAGTCGCAGTTCCAGTCCCAGTGCTGGCCCCAGCCCCAGTCTCAATCCCCGTCCCAGGTCCGGCCCCAGTCCCTGTTCGAATTCTAGTTTCAGCCCCAGTCCTGTCCTAATCCCAGTCCCAGTCCCAGAGTCAGACACGCAAGTTTCACACGGAAACACAAGTTTCAACACGGGCCTTTACTGGGTGTGGTCGGTGCTGGTGACGCTCAGCCCACCCCAAGCCCAGCACACCGAGGGCACGCTCCGGGCCGGTGCAACCAGCCACCCCCGGGGCTGTGCCCAGCTCATCCACCAGGCCACAAACTGCATTTTCTCCCTTGTTTTTCATCCCAGCAAACTTTTCTCCCTGCAGGGCTACGTTGCTACTTTCCCCAAAGAAAACAGGAGGCTTCCAACATGGTGCCCCTCCAAGAAACCGCTTTGATCCTTATTGTGGTGACCCAGCAGCCACCACTGGGGATAAAGAGCTCTGCCCAAGGCCACGGCAGCACATCCCCCGAGCCCAGCATGTCCTGAGCCACAGAGACAACACTGCTCCAAATGAAAATGGCCTCAGGTGTGGCTTGTTACCTTCTCCCTCACTCCAGCCTGTCTCTGGAGTACAGGAGGGCTTCAGCCAAAACCTGCAGCTGCTCCATGACCTCTCGCTGCATCTCCACAGCAATGTGGAACACATGGTGGTCAGAGCTGTTGTACATCACTGCGTTCTGGAACATGAGCATGAGGTCACACTGGAACTGGATCATGGACTGAATGTGTCCCTTTGCCAGCCTTCTCTTTATGCTGGTTAAATCCATGGGTCTAGAAAAGAGAGAGAGAAGGAGAACTGAATTGCAACCCAGGGGAAGGCATCCTTCGGGCTCTGCATGAATGTGATTATTCTCATTTCAGAGTGGCCCTGAAAGCAGAGCTATTTTCAATCAATTTTATTGCTCAAGACAAAGAGGGAGAGTGAGAAAGGCTTTTCTTCCAAGTCAGACAAAAGTTAAGTTCAGCCAATGCGACACTTGCTGTCCAACTAAGTTGGCAGGTCATTAGCAGTAACCTCCGAGAAAAATGTGATGCTGAGCTCCAGAGAAGGCAAGCAGTAATTAGTCTTCATGAAGTCAGTCCAGGTCTTAGTGGAGAAAGAAAGGTTACTAAAATAGCTATCTATTAAACCCCCTTAAAATCAAATGGTGCCACCAGCAAAAATAGCAGTGCTGTTAAGGGGAACGCGACGGGGAATAAATATTACTTCCCTTATTTTGACAGAATGGGAAAATGAATGGCTGCAGAGAGGACAACTGTGACCAGAATAGAACATGATTCAGCTCTGAAAAATGCCCTTAATCTCTCTGGGAAATATTGTTATGACCCACTTCTGTGCTGAGAGTGAAACATCTGGGGCGCAAGCAGCGAGTGAGGAGGGGGCATTGCCTGAGGCACATCCCAGCATGGGGAGAAGGGATTGCTGAGCTGCAGGAGCTGGATCCCCTGCCCAGGGACTGTGCCTGAGCTAAGCCATGCAAGTCCTGCATGGCAGGCACAATTCCTACCAGGTCCAGAGTTAGTGCAAGCTTCCAGTTTCTAATTACCCAGAAGGGAGTTTTAATAAAAGAAATCAATGGGAAATGCTGGTGACAGCCAAACTCTGGAAAAGGAGAAAGAAAACCATTCCACTGGGCCTTTGGAAACCAAAAACAACAGAAAAGAACCAGAGAGAAACCAGCTAGTGAGCACTTGCTCCACAGACTCACCTCTTTACCACATCCCTGTATCCAGGGGCTTGTTTCTCTGACACTGGCTTCAGGAATGGGCTGCTGTATCTACAGGGACAAGGACAAAGAATGTTCTGTGCCTGCCCTGCGCCAAAGGCAGCTCTGGGACATGGAGCAGTGTTTCTCTCTCCCTGCCTGCTGTGAGGGCCACAGCCAGTGCTGTGCCAGCTGTGTAGGAAGCAGCACTTGGGCTCTGTCACATTAAGCAGAGGAAATAAATATGCAGTGTTCTCTCCAGCTCTGCAGCACACAGCTGTTCCCAAAGCAAAGCCTGGGAGAGACAGCCCGGCCTCTGGGGAGGGGGGGACAAGGCCTGGTGACACAGGAGCTGGGACTCAGGGCAGCGTGTTCGGGACATGTTGATCCAGCCCTCTGCTCCCACATACCTGTGACTGGCTATCATCCTCCAGATGGTCAGGAGTGTTTTCTTGAGGAGCAAATGCTGGAGGGGGTTATTCCAGCTCGGCTGCACCCTGTGGAGTGAAGGCATTGCCAGATCATCACACTGAAGACAAAGTGGGAGGTGGCAATTCTGCTGGCACCCACCACATCCACAGCCTTGGAGTGTGATGGCAGGAGCATCCTCCATGGGAATGCGCAAGTAAACATCCAGAATGCAGGAAGATGCAGGGCAATAGGTAAAAACAAGAGCTGAGCTGAAGGGCAGAATCAAACTGGATAGAAAACCACATGCTACTCTGCCGTTTAGAACTTTACTGAGGTGGTTTTCATGAAGTTTCTCATCCCAACTCCCCATGTTTTTCCTTTGAAAGGCAGCCCAGATGATCATACATGGCAGAGCCTGCATGTGACAGACGTATCTGCACCTGCTTAAAAGGGGTTAGTAATGCCTCTCTCAGGAGCTGGACTATGCATTGCCTGACAGAACCTGATGCCCAGCCTACCTGCCTTGAGGAGATGTGTATTTTCCATTTAATCTCTTATTTAATCTCTACTCTTCTCACTTCAGCTTAGGATCGATGCCTCAAAATGCTGGCAGATCCACAGAGATAGCACAAGTTACCTCCTTCCCTCCTGTTCTCCTTGGCTATCTCACCTTCCTGGATGTGACCTGTGCCATACACTTGTTCTCATATGTGACAAGGCAAATGACTCTGTTCTGCTGCACCTGCAAGAGAGCAGAACCAGCTACTTACAGGTGTGTGTCGGGAGGGCTTGTGGAGTCCAGCACTGGGGCTGCAGAGGTGCTGCCACTGTCATCTTGGTCCTGGGCTTGAGCACTCATCTCCTGTGCTTGCTGCTCACCTAAAGCTTGTTCTCCAGGTGTCTCTGGAGTCTTGTCCTGAGGAGCACAGAGGAGGACACATCTAAAATGGCAGCCTGAGATAAAGGACCCGAGTCATTTATCTAGAAGCCAGCCTGCTGCACATCCCTTTACTGCATCCAGGCTCAGCTGGGAGCTCACTTGCTCTCTGTTATTCTGAGGATGATGTCTGACCTTACCGAGACTTCCCCTGTGCTGCTCAGCGCTCAGTAACAGCTGGGTCTGATCTCTTGGATCATATCCACCTCTGGCTAACACAAACCCTGTGGAGCTGCCCAGTGTTGTGTCTGTCTGCTCTTTGGGAAGAGTCATGGATGTAGAGAGGGCAATCAGGAGCTGAGGTAAGACTGCCTCAGGCTTGTTAGAGCTCGAGATACAGATAACAGGATCCCCTAGAGCACAACAAGGTTGTTTCCCCAGAAACTCCCACATGAATATGACAGGGAATAGACTCATCCAGGAAGGAGAGTGGTGCTGTTGTTGTACTAATTTGCCAATAAAATGTAGAGTGGCAGGAAAGGGAGGCTTTTTGAAGTCCTGGATGTGGGATTATATGAAGGGACACCTCAGAATCCTCAACAGATCTGAAGCATGGGCAGACTTCTCAGGAAGAAACTGGACACGGTGCTGTGTTTGGTTTTGACCACTGGGAGAACGATGAGGGAACTGCTGTGAATAACAGCAGTTAAGAACAGAGTAACTGCTGGAAATAACACTGTTCTGTCTGAACAGGTGAAAACCCTGAAAGTTATTTAGCTCCAATGTCTGAGTTTTCAAGGGAACAACTGTGAGTGTGGAAAAATGACACCATTCTTCCACTGCTATGTTACCTGTCCCAGGAATACCTCAGAGGCTGGTGGAAGACCACAGCCCCCTTGATACAGGACTGATGCAAACCCAGGCTAAACAGTGCCTGCTTCCAAGACATGACGGTCCCCAGGGGCAGATGGTTCTTGCTGGCACAGCCACGTGGGCCTGAAACCAGCCAAGCTGTGCTGCAAAACACACCAATTAGAACAGGGCAAGTATTCCAGTCTTGCCTTAAACCTGAGAGCAGCCTGCCAGCTCTCATGAGTCACCTTTACACTGCCAAGGAGCAATTCTTCCAACTCACATCTGAAGGTTTGATCTGTAAAAAGCTTCCTGTTTATAAAGATACACAGCCATACATAAAAAACCACCCTTCCCTCTTACATTTCTCCTGCGTTCCCCTCCCTGCTGTCTCCTCCTGTGTGTCCCTGCCTCCCTGGGACTCCCCCATCTCTTCTAGAGCTAGTTTCCTTCACTGTCTCTTGTCTCTCATCCAGGACCAGAGGCTCTTTTAGGACCACCACTACCCTACCCCTCTTGCCAAGAAGTGTTCTTTCTCATCTTCTGCCAGAATGTGTAGTTGACTTCCCTCTGCTCCCAAGACCGCTGTTCCTGTGGTCTTTTCCTGGCACCTCACATCTTCCCCATCACTCTGCTTCCCTAAGCCACAATAATCCCACTGAGTCTGTGATGACTCCGTGCTGCCAGTGCGGAGAGATTCCAACATCTGGGTTACCTGCAACACAGTGATTTATTACTTCAAATTGTGAAGGCAAAAGGGAGGAGAAATAAACAGCACAGATGCTATTTTTGCATTCAATCACGGACACCTTTCCATTTTTAGGAATCCTTGCAAAATCTTCCGATGAAGCCCTGTGTTATTATTATAGTGTCAGTTCACTGACATTTCTGTGCTTTAGGGTGAGCTGTGCTTTGGCAAAGCAGCTCCCTTGTTGCAGTGCCAGCTCCAAATGGGAGGAAGGGCTGGGCTTGGGCCAGGGAGTGAGTGAACCCAGGGCATCTGCTGTGCCCCCAGACTGTTTCTGTGTGTTAGGGATGGTGGAGGCCCTAAAAAACCCCGATGTTTCAGGAGGGTCTGAACTATGCTGCCAACCTTCCTGTCATCCAAACAGCCCTACCTCCAAAAGGAACTGGAGAGGACTGTTGCTTTCATATGGCTTCTCTGCCTCTTGGTAATCTTCACTATCATCCTCCCAGGGAGGCTCACTCAACCTCAGCTCACAGTCTGCCTCTTGGCTGCTCTCCTCTGCCTTCCCCACAGCCATGTCTTCAGTATTTCTCCAGCTCATGTCCACATCCAAGCTTGAATCCCAGCTGGGAGGAGACTGGAAGCCACTGTTCTGTGACTGGCAGGATTGGCCCAACTGCAAACAGTAAAAAGAGAAAGCAATTTCTTTGTACCAAGATCCAGAACTGCCAAGCCCAGCTCATTTTGTGACACACTCTGAGAGCCCCAGCGCAGGAAGGACTCTGAGGTGAGCAGTCTATGCCTGCTCAGTCTGTACCCGAGCCCTGCGCACAGCACGTGGCACGGCTGCAGCTCTGCAACACAAACTGCTGCTTCACAGCAACTGCATTACAAGTTTTCTGTGCCCTCTCCCTGCCCAGGGGTTGGTGGGTCACCGTGCTCAGGGCATGCTGAGCTGGCTAGAAGCACGTGGCTTTGCTGGATGTTCCATGTTTAAGGTGCTGAAGGCACCAGCAAGGTCAAACTGAGTCCTGACAGGGCTCCTCAGCTGCTGACTGTTGTGAACAACTTGTGACTCCAAGGACAACTCACTGAAATTCCCTTTGCTGCCCCCTGAGAACCTTTTATACTGGAAATAACTTATTACAAAGCTTACAGACACTTTGTTTTTAAAGTGACAGATGTGGTTTAGCTGGATGGTGATATCTCATGTACCTGAGTCAGAAGAATTATAACCCTGCACAGATACACACTGACAGGACAGTTCTACATATTTCAGAAAATAAAAATTAGCGATCTCTTAAGAAGGAAGAAACCATTAATTTCATCCCTGTTCATTAATCCATGCCTAACTATCTTTTACTGCACTAGTCCACTAAGATTTCTCTAAGCCTGGGGAATTGCTGGAAGAGTCACAGTAACAGTAAATGATGTTAGAAAATCTGTATCTGCCCCTGAACAGAGCTGTGTGGATGCTGTACCTATGGAGAATTCTATGCATTAGTTAACAGTGTCTTCAGAGTTTTAAGTTAATTAGGTACAACCTAATTTTTTCAGAGTTTTGAACAAGCACATTTCTCACTGACTGCCTTTTGCACTCTCAGGACTGCTAGCACAGCTCCAAATACAGCTTACGGTGCATAATTGAGAGAAATAAAGAACCCACTGGGTTTGGAGATGAGAAAACTGGTTTGCTCATTTCCTGAACTTGCAAGCAGAGTTAGAATCTGAAAGCCTGTCCTTCCAAAACCTCTTTCAAAGTTAACTTCAGAGGAAGCAGAAGAAATTTGATGAGGTAAGAGATAACATTACCTGCTCTCAGCTTCCAGAGTTGGTGTTGGACAAAGAGTTGGGCAAACTGAGATTTCATCTGAAGAAGAACTCTGTGCCTAAAGCACTGTCCTGCACCTTCAGCAGAGCTGAGCACACACAGAACCAGCCACTGCAGCTCAGGTGAGGAACAGAAAACCCTCACCCAGGGTAATCAGATCCCTAGTGATTATCTTTCTGTACTCCAGGTGAGAGGGTTTAAAATCAGGAAGCCTGGGGAATTTGGGCATAAGCATCAATTAAAGAGATCTTCAGCCTAATGTTCAGTTTTCCCAAATCTTGGAAAACTCAAGATGCCAGAGAGCAGAACAGCAGCTTTAGTGCAAGACATGATGAGGGAAATAATCCCAGGCTGCACAGCTCCATACCAATTCTGGACCAAATGACAGACCTCAAATTTTAATTAAGAACTGCCTGACAGTTCTTAATTATGTTGGCCACATAAGTCACCAGCAAGGAACCTTTCTCAAATTGGAAAGTTTTAGTCCGCTTTGCAGAGATCAGACGCTGCACAACCCTTCCTGATCTGAGAAAGAGCTGTTAGAAATCAAGAAGACAGTCTTTAAAAAGAACGTACATGTCAAAACAAGAAAAATGATAAAAGCCTGATCTCTAATAAATGAAACATAGAATCCACATAAAGTAGGCAAAAAAAAAAAAAAAAAAAGGAAAAAGAAAACCAGAACAATTTGCTAAAGACATAAAAGCAAATAAAAACAACAAACCTCATCAAAAACATCAGAAGCAGAGAACTGACAGATGATCAGTGGCGATGACGCATGATCAGTGCCAAACATCTCAGTGGAAAATAGGGCCAGTTGGAAAAACCAAATTAATCATCATTATCAGCAGAGCCACAGAGGAGATCACATGAGACCTTCTCTTGGGGTGGGTCTGAGAGACAGTTTCTAATTAAAATGTCAACAGGGGAGGTTTTAGAACAATTAAAGGGAGCGGGTAAACCTTAGAACCCATTGGGATTCACTTGTGAGTCTTAAAGAAGCTTAAATATAACGTGACCAATCCTATGCTGTGTAACCTGTCATTTAAGTTTAAGAAGAAAACCAGAAAGGGGTGATTGTTTTATCTGTCTGTAAAAGGGTGGGTGTTGAGAGATAAAGCACAGTAAAACATCAGCTCTGTACCAGACAGATTAGAACAAAGTATTAGGAAGAACAGACTTAGTAGTCAGAGCACGAGATGATGAATTGGAAAAGAGGCAATGGGGCTCCGTAGAGAAAATCATATCTTAAGAGTTTTAAAGCTCTTAAAACATAATTTAAGACTATTAAAACGTCATAGGACAAGGGAAAAGGCTGAAAGAAAAATACCTGGTTAAGAGAAGAAACCAAGGGTAGGAAGGAACAGCAATGCTTGCCACGATGAAAGCAAGTTACTTGTGGGCCTGATAAAGGTCCTCTCATGTGCTGCACCTTCAGTTTTCCAACAACGGCAGGTCAGAGGTGTTACAGAGGAGATGGAGCCAGACTCTTCTCAGTGCCCAACAGTGAAAGGAGGGAACAGTTATGACAAGTTGCATCAAAGGAATTTCAGACTAGGTATATATTTACTCCAGGAAGAGTGGGTAAGCACTGAAACAGCTTGTCCAGAGGTGCTAGGGAACCTCCATCCTTGATTTTCAAAACTTGACAAATCTACTTTTGAAGCTGGCCCTGCTCTGAGCAGCAGGTTAGAGGAACGCACAGAGGTCCTTTCCAATTTAGAATAATGGAACGGTTGGGTTGGAAAGGGCCTTTAAAGGCCATGTGGGTCCAACACCCCCTAGCCCAAGCTGCTCAGAGGCCTGTCCAACCCAACCCTGAACATTTCCAGGAATGGGGCATCCAGCTTCTCAGGGCAACCTGTGACAGTGTCTCACCATGCTCATTGTAAAAAAAAAAAAAAAAAATCTTTATCTAGTCTAAACTGATCCTCTTTTAGTTTCAAACCATTACCCCTTGTCCTGCCACAACAGGCCCTGTTAAAATGTTTGTCCTTAACTTAAATAATTCCATAGCACACACAAAGAACCCTGTAACTTTTAGTGCTGTGAAAATAACAACCTGTAATCTCTGGAAACTGTAACACAAAAATTCAAATAAGAAACTTGTTCCCAGGTTTAGTAGTGAAGGACAACTGACCAATAACCAAACCAAAGGATTTTCAGCATTTCCACATCAGTAATGTGACTGTGAAAATACACCTCAGTGATACGTGGAACTCAAAACAGCAGGCACAGCCAACTTCAACACTAAACTTGTGAAAATAAAGAGCTCTTACTAGGCCAGGTAACAATGCCTCTGGTCTTAATCCCAGTGACTCAGTTTCCTGAAACCTGTGTAACAGAAAGCTGCACCCTGTACATGCTGCAGAGTGCATATCACTCCCAGTTGCTGCAATGCATCAAGGATGATATTGTTTTGTTGGTGGTTTTTTTTCCCCCACGAAAGGTTGTGGGGGCAGAAAACATGCAAGTTTCATCTCACAGGTCATGTGAGCAGAAAAGAAGGTGGCAACTTGGAAATTCTCACAGAGAACTTCAACCTCCATGTTGCTTAGGAAAAGGACTGTAATTTCCAGTATAAACAGGGCACAAGCTCAGATGTGAAACTGGGAACTGGCAATCCTCCCTGCAGCTGCTGGGATCACGGACTTTCACTCTCACTAGTGTAGCCTTCACAGATCTCAGGGGGAAGAATGTACAGTACTTTTCGATGCATATTCTCCTAAGGAAAGCTCCAACTAGACTGCAGTATTTAACTTCTCATGGTTAGATTTCCTGTTTCATCACAGTGGTGCTGCATCCTCACACACTCCATCAGAGAATCTTCCTCTCCATCCAAGCACTATGGAACATTCCCATGATTAATGGATAGTCTGTAAGGCCAAAGCTCTGCCTCTGTGTGTGCTCTACGGACAACTGGAAGACAATTATACTTGCAGATATTCAAGGTGGGTACACAAGCTTCTTCCACAGGGTTACTCCCTGCAGAGCTGGGATGCTCAGTACACTGCACACCGGTTTGTTCCCAGATTTTAATATACATCACATTTACACATCACTAGTAAAAATCTGTACACTTCACATTACAGTACATACGAGCCACCAGTTGCTAGCTAACACCAGGACACTGATGAAGCCCAAGACAACTGCCCTAAAACAGGCAGGGGGGCTAGTCTTCCCCTCTGGGGAAGTTTCTTTGGGATACATATTCCGACGAGACAGAGCTTTCCAGAGGGGCAAGCGAAGAAGGTGAACCAGGTCCCAGAACTGGACCTGCAGCTTTTCTTCCTCCTCCAACAGCTGTTAAGAGCAGCCTGCTTGCACTCCAGCTCCAGATGCTGAGTGCTGGGATTCTCTGTGTGCCTGCAGCATCATTTCTTCATCTTCAGGTCTGCCTCGATGGCGCAGCGCCGCCCTCTGGTGCCTCCGTCCTGCTCACAAGGCAAACAAACACAGTTACACAACCCGACACCAGCGCTCTGCTCCCTTCAGCACAGGGGGAGGGAGGGAATTCTGCATCTGGCAACAACTTTTCATGCCTTCCAATCAGGAGAAAGGGAAGCCAGTCCCTAAGGTGGCCTGGGGCGGCCTGCCTGCAGACCTACCTAAAGATTGTTCTGGACACAGCAGGGTGCTGGGCTTGGCAGCATGTGTGCACTGCTGGAGCCAGGGCGGAGAGAGGCAACATGACTCTCACCCAGACAAATGCTTTTGGAGCCTGGACAGCACAGGCTTTCTCCTAAACAGCATATTCTAGCTTAAGGTGGGAAGAGGAAACTGCTGACTAACCTACCTTATCAGCTGCTGATCCCTACGGGAAGTGCTCCTCCAGTTGAGTGACCCTGGCACTAGCTCCCTAGTTTCTTGGCATAGCTCCTTTCCATGAGCAGGTGAGCTGAGAGCTTCCTTTGATGCGCTGCCCTCTCTCTCTGGCTGACATGCTGAATCTCCTGGAGTACTCCTCTGTCTTTAGATACACGTGAGAGATAAGAACAACTCTCCAACTTCCTCTCCTCTCTCCTCCCCGCAACTCAGAGACTTGGGGTTTCCCAGAGGGAATACTTTTCCAAACACTTCTGGATCACCACAGGCACAGAGCAAGGTATTTCTGCAGAGTGTCTTATTTGCTTTGTGGATCAGGAATGATAAAGGAGTACACAGCTGACCCATCGCTCTGCCAAGACCTTTTGTACTGCTTCCAACGTGTGGAAGGGGCAGCTGTATAAACATGAGAGATGTAGGAAATACAGGTCTTGGTTTGTCTTCCCACTTACATGGAAAGAAAGCAGGAGAGAAGTCGTGGAAAAAAAGCAAAAGCAGATGACAAAAAGAAAACTCTTGGAACCAAAAGAAAAGACTGAAGCCCCTCCCGCTCACCCACGCTGAGAATAAGGGACTGAGATGTTTCTTCTCTAAGGATCACAGTGGTGCAGCCCCTAAGTCAAACACACCCCTTGCAGTGCTAAGGATGCTGTGACAGTACAGTGATCACCCAGACAAGGAGCAGAGCACCTGCCAGCAGAACCTGCTGGAGCCTTTCAATACTTACAAAGAGAGAGAGAAGGAAGGCAGGAGAGCCCATTGGGACACTGTCCTGTTAAAAGGCCAAACAGAAGGACTTATCAGGCATCAGCTACGGAAATGCACACACCACATAGAAGCACTGAGCCCACACATGAGCATAGAGAAACATGTGCCCCACTCCCCTTCCCGCATGGCACCAGTCTTATGCAGCAGAAACATAAAAACAGACAAAAAGAGGGATACTGCAAGAGTCAGAATGCTAGGAAAGGGATGTTCCCTCCTCATCCATGGCAAGGCCTGATCTACCAAACAATTTCTGCAAGGTGCAGTTGCCACTAGAACTAAGCAGGCAGTCCCTGCTGTCAAAGTGTTGTGTGCACCAGCTGAGATCACCTCATCATGTTTGGATGTCTTCACAGAAGAAAAAAACAAACAACCTTCACTGCTTAGATCAGTGTGAAATTCAGAGGTTCTCTGGTGTGTTTTACACAGCAAACCAGAGCTGACCAATTCTCTCTCTCTAAAAGCCTGACTAGAAAGTGAAGGACATGGCAATTCCCTTCACCTTCCTGCCATATTACACCTCTACCAATACTCTCTTCATTTCCCTATGGTTTTTATCACCTGTTTTTAAAAGGTGATAGAACTACTGGGATTACAGAAGAAACTCATGAGACCTGCCTCTTGAATGCTGTACAGGTCCAGAACTGAAATCTATTAAATGGACACATTTGAGGAAATTTTGTTTACATGAAGATGCTGGAACCACTGCAATCCCAAAAAACATTCTGCCTCTCTTGTGTGAGAACTTCATGCAGTATCTTGGGATTCTTCAGAAGATCCCAAGTGCCCTTCCAGAGGGTGCAGCATTCTCACCTTCTCTGAAGCATCTTGCTTGCGAGTGGAGTCTCGCCCCCGCAGGCTCTTTGCACTGATCCCCGACTCTGATGTTTGCATCATCAGTTGTGTGGCCAGAAATTGCTGCAAGAAAACCACACTCTGTTAAGATTGCCAGGCAAAACAAGCTCAGTAAGTGCATGTCAGTTAACTATCACAGACCACAGGCCGGGAATGATTGGGTCAGAGGCAGTTTCAGTTCCTTTTCTGCTGCTCAAAATAAGTTCCCCTATTTACCTCAGAAGCCACAAGTCCTGAGGAACTAGAAAACCTCAGTTCAAACTCTTAGTCCTGCCAGCTGGGACGTCCTGCTTCACAGGACATTTTAAATGGCATAAATTCACAGGACAGTTTCATGTACACTTTATATCAACGTAAACCAGCACAGCCACCCAAAGCAGCAGTCGCGTCCCCTGTCATTCACTATTTTGTTGCTTGTTTCTGTTCCTGAACCACACCCCAGTTTTTGCTGGCCTAAGCATTTCCCTGAAGGAAATTACATTTGAAATTGGTCTGGGCTGAACCTATAAAAAATTTTGCTGCGTTACTTTTAACTCTCCCACAATCTAATTCAACTCAAGCACCTGAGCAAGCATGAGAGAGATGCAGGGAAGGACTGGACTCCTGCATTCGAACACATGGGGAGTGAAACTACGGTCTTACACTCATGGACCAAGGCAGCTGCTCTGCCCTCAGCTCAGTGCTTTACCTGGATCTGCTCCAGGACATCTCGCTGCATCTCCACAGCCATGTGGTACACATCATGGTCAGAGCTGTTGTACATAACTGCATTTTGAAACATCAGCATAATATCACGCTGGAACTCAGCTGTGGTTCGTATCAGCCCGTTCTCAATGTTCTTTTTGATGGTAGACAAATCCATCGGCCTATGAAAGAAATGCAAGCAAAACTGTAACAGGCACACCTAAGTCTTTTCCCTCTCTTTTGGAAACAACCTTGAGTCTGTAATGTTGTCTAGTTAGAGAGTCTGTTCAATTTAGCTGAAGAGGTTCTGCCCCAGACAGGTTATGCTCCTGAGTACCAAGGCCTGGGTCAGAAGACAGAAGCTGTCCAGGAATGGTGACAACAGCCTGAGCGATGCCTCAGGAGAGGCACCTGCCTTCTCCAGGTATCACGGAGGAAGTAACTAAGGAGCCAGAGCTGCAGCCACTGAACTCGAACTGTTTAGGGAAGAGGTTTCAGGGGCTAGCAGGGGATTCTGGTAATTCTTCCAGAAAAGTTCACTACCTGGGATAGTAAAAAATACTGATTAAAAAAGACAGCTTTTAGGAATTTCAAAGGTTAATCCTACTCTTTGATAGAAACTGGGGAAAACGGATGAGTCATGTATCACCTTACCGATAAAAATGTTCTGTGTAACTCAGTGTATTTCACTCAAGCCAAGGTTCTGTACAGACATGTGCCTGTTACTGAAGACCCGCTTCTTGGGGAAACCTGCTTCTGACTGAATCATGTCAGGAAAAAAAATGTTTTTCCAAGTATTCCAGTCTGCACAGCAGGCAAAACCTACATTGCTCCTGCCAGAAATCCCTAACAAATTAGCAAATATAGAGTTTTAGTGACAGAAGGCTGCTGAGACTCACCTCTGCACAATGCTGTGGTAGCCTGGTGCTATATCATCAGTTACAGGCTGCAGAAAGACATTGGCATATCTGCAGACAGAAAGAGTCCACTTAGTGTCCATCCTTGATGGTAAATATTTGTTTCATGCTCTCCTGTTTATTTGTCTGTAACAGTATGATTCATCATCTCCTGGTACCAAGAGATAAGCCTCTGAGATGGGAGAGTGGAGACTTGTCTAGGATTAGTCACTTCTTTCTGTCAAGACATCAAACTCCCTCACCTGTGATTAGCTGCTGCTCTCCAAACTAGCATGATGGCTTTCTTCCAGATCTTCTGGGCCTGTATCGCTTCCTGATCCTCACTGCACACTGAGCTGGGAAGAGAAGAACATACTTCCTTTAGGAGTCTGCACAGTGCCTCAGAGCAGAAAACTCGTGGTTTATTTTGCCTCTGACATGCCCATGCTAATCCATGACAAAGACAGGAGGAAAAAGTGGGAGCTGGTACTGAGGTGCTGTCTGCACACTTGCCCTTGTAAGCAAGAAGAACCAGAAATAATCATCAACAAATTCCCACTCAGCAAAACAGAAATGAGATTCCTACGCTCCCTCCACAACTCCCTGACACTCACAACTGTGAGGAGGCCGGGCTGCTGGGGATGGAGTCGGCGAGTGCGTGGGACTGCAGAGGCGCGTTGTGGACGCTGAAGCCGTCGTCGCTCTCACTCACAGGGGGCTCGTTATCCATCTCTGACAGATATCCCTCACCCTGATCTTCTTCTTTGGGTTCCTCCAAACTGGCAGCCTCACTGGCACCGTCCTCATCGTCCTCCTCACCCTGCCCATCCTGAAACACAGAGTCCATGAGCCAGCACAGCCAGCTACAGCAGCAGCTCAGAGCCTCCAAAGCAACTGCGGTTCAGCGAGCAAAGTGATTTTCTTGTTACCCTGCTGACAACTGTACAGGCACTTCCACAGAGCCCCAGTCTCTCTGGCCCGCCCTGCCTCCCCCTGCAGACCCACAAGCACATACACATATAAGCTTTACAGCTTGAAGCAATCTCTTTTTTAGGTCTGACTGCAGACTGCTTACTTCTCAGTGTAGAAAAGCTGAACACAAGCTTTGCTTTTCAGCAGAGAGCAGCAGCAGTGAGATGTCGCTAACAAACTTGGGATGACTGTAACTGAGAATTACCTTCATCTGACTTCTAAACAGGGCTTGGGCCTCTTCCTTCATTGAGTCTGTGAAAGAAAAAAATGCAGAAAGGTTGACTCTCCAAAGCAGTCTTCCCTACAAAAGCTCCTGCACCAATGCCTACTGTCCTACAGTAATTACCACTGTTCCTACATGTATCTTTTGTCCCTCCTCCCCAAAAAACCTGAACCATATCACTGACAACTATCCAGCTAATAATGTTGCATGTAAAAGATTTCCTAGCTGAATTAAGTTACCTGACAGCTCAAATTTGTGCTGAACATCAGCCTGTGAGGAGTCTTCACTCACATTTGGGACTTGTGGAGGGGATGAATCATCATCAGGTGGGGTCTGGAGGGAAGAGAAATGCACAAATCTAGATGTTTGTGTCAGCTTACTTCAGTGAAGGTGTGGGCACATCTCACTCACCCTAACCTAACTCAAGGCAATGAGGTTCACTGAGCACCTTCCCAGCAGCAATTCTGCACATGGGCGAGGGGAGATACACGAAGGTACTGCCTAAAGCAGAGCTGCTCTGCTCATCAAGCACATCAGCAGCACGACTCCCAGGAAAACAGTCAGTCACATCCACTGAAGGGTCACCTTCAGCCCAGCAGTCACCCTTCCTCTAAAATTTCTCTCCTACCTGACACAACTGCTCCTTTCTTTCCCCACATCAGTTCCAGACAGCCTCTCTGCTCACATACCTCTGTCTTCACTGGATTGAGCACTGCATCTTCTCCCTTGGACGACTCTGTATTTATTTCAGGAGTCTCTCCTGATGTTAGAGCTGCTCTTTGATCTTCTTCTATCTCTTGACTTCTAAGCTCTGGTGTTTCTGTCACTCTAGCAGTCGCTGGTATGGTTTCCTCAGGGCCCAGCTGATTCTGCTCCTGCTCTGCAAGTTCGGTCTTTATTTCTGATGCCAGCTCGCCAATGCCCATTAGGTCTCGAATTCCCTTTGTCTCTGGCTCCTCACACTCCAGTCTCTCCTGCTTCACAGTCACAGACACTTGGGGTATCTGGGCCTGTTTCTCGTGCTCCTGACGAATTGAATGTTCCCAAGGGCCAGGAAGGGTCTGAGGGTCATCGGTATCTTCACAGAAAGAAGACAGAGCAGCTTCAACAACTGCTGCGTCCAGGACTTCAGGGTGGTCGTCTACCTTTATTGTCAAAACAAACACACAGCAGAGCAGACCAAGGTCAGCAAGAGGGATTAAAGAAAAGTTTAAAGTGATTTAAAAAAAAATGTTATTTCTGAGACAACTGTGGAAAACTCCATGTAGTGGTACTGCCTTTTGCAGCCAGACCTGTATCATTCCCTGTGGAGCCTCCCATGGAACTTCAGTTTCAGAAATACTCCTGGAAAGGATGCTGTGAGCAGCACTCATCTGTCTGCCAGAGATGTGACCTAAACCCTACCCAACATGAGGAAGAAAGAGATTTCTCTGTGCACTCTGAAGAGGAGCATCAAGTTAGGATGAGTACCAGTGTCAGACTGACAGCAATGGTGTCATAGGGTCATTTCCTATTGTTCTGGAAAACTATGGTGAGAATGTGCACTTTGGAATAGCTATTTCCTGCTTTTTTAAACTAACTAAATTGGTGAACAGCAATCCTTTGAGATTAACCCAACTGAATGTGGAGCAAGAGGCACTGGCACTCTGCTTTGCCCATTTACCTTGTCCTCAATGATGGCTATAATGTTTCCAACTGTATCAAAGTCCAGCTCTTCCCCCGTATAGGACACTGCAATATCCATTTTCTCAGCCAAATCCAGATCTTCTTTCCCGTCCATGCAGTGATCTTTGGAAGACCCTGCAGTGCTGCCAGCCCCAGAACCCAGGCACTCTTTCTTGATGGAATCAATAATCATGGATATTTCACTGCTGTCCATGGACACTGTCACAGTGTGGGAATCAGACACTGCTTCCATGGAAACACAGGCTTCTGGCTGGCTCACTGCACAAGGATGAGAGAGACAGTAAGAGACAGACCAAGCTGGAGAAGTCCAGCCCACATAAACACTGCAGTGGATAAGACCAAGCACCAACTGCAACTATCTCAGGCCCACCCACACCACCACAGCTTAGATAAATAAAAGACAAATACAGGTTTGCTTTCCCACAGGAGAGACAAAGCGAGATTCCAACCCTTGAACCACAATCCAGCCAACCACCAGCACCCCCACCCAGCAAACCCTGTTTAAAACCACCTGCTTATTCCAGAACCCAGACATAACCATCCTTTTGGCCAGGATAGCAAGCCTGAGGTGCTAAAGCCCAGCTGAGAGCTGGCCGGGCGCTGATCCCACGGGAAGTTCTGCTTTCCAGCAGTGCGTGTCCTACGAGTGCGTAGTTCAGGAACGCACCTGTGGCTACGCTTTCTGGAGCTGCAGCTGGTGGCACAACGGATGGTGCTGACAGCGTGGGCATCATGACAATAGTTGCCTGGGACACAGGCTCTACGGGGGGTGGCAGGAGCTTAGCTGGAGGTTCGCTGGCAACAGCGGAGAAGGAAGCAAGAGGTGAGGTGAACTGTGCAGGACCAGCTTCTAAAAGCCGGGAAAGCGTAGGAGCACCTAACAGAGAGTAGAAGGGAAAAGCACATGAGCAAGAAGCAGCCACCACTGAAGTCCACAAAGCCACCACTGGGTTCTTCACTGTCTGGTGGCTTCTTCTGGGAAAAGACACTGAGAGATACCAATAAACAGTCCCAAAAGCTGTACAGAGAACCTGCACCAAAAACACCCGACCCCATTGTGTGTGCAGTCTGAGGCAGAATCATGCAGTTATGGAACACTGTTCACTGTAAGGGCTGGACAGACTAAGCCACACATGCACAGAGATGCCCTTCCAAAGGCTCATCCCAATACGAGTATGGGAGATCTGAAAAACAGTGCCTGAGAGAGCCACACAAGGTAAGCCAAGACAAACAGTCATCACAGGAGCTGGGAGGGAGCAGAGGGGATCTCTTTGCAGGTTTTTCCTGGAGAATTCCTTTTATATCGAAGATTGTCACTCATTTTAGCTGTAACTTCCAGTCTGCATTTACTCAACTGTCTGGACCAAATTAACAGGTCTTAAAAGATGTGGATAAGGAAAGCTGCTTACTTGTATGGAATTCTATATAAATGAATGGCATAAAACCTCAGTTGCAGACAATGTGATTAAACCACTAGTCAGCAAGAGATGAGAAAAAACCCTCACCTTAGGAAGGCTCTTCTGAAAAAGCCCAATGCAAAGAGTCCTGCAATGTCCCTCTCACCCTCACTCTGGGGAACTCACTCTGGAGCTCATAGTCCTCTGCAGTCTAACTCTCAAAACACCTCTGAGGTACAGCAGAGGGAAGGCACATGAGTTCTCCAGATCCACAGGGAGCTGAGTTTGACACATTAAGAATCAGATACTAGATCATTTTTTCCTCAACTCCCCATCAACAAACCCTTTCTCTCTACAACAAAATGCTGGCTATTAACCAGTGTCAAACCCAGAAAACCAGACTGCACAGATCAGGATCGAATCACGTTTAACTGTTTCAGTCACTCTTTTTTTTCCTTAAGGATTAGGGTCTTCTTAAAAAAGTAGGGGTGAGAGGGATGTGGGTACAGAAAGAGGAATACAACTCATAAAGAAGCCCCCAAACCCACCAGGCTAGATGTCCTTCATCTTTCTCCAAAGAGAATTCACAGAGCAGTCTGAAAGGACATCTTAAGAGAGAACTGTATAGGGAGAGGCCTGAGTTACCTGAAGCAGCAGGAGATGCAGGGACAGCACCAGGTGTCGACTGCATTTCCCCACTGTGCAGTACTGGAAGGACACTTCCTACCTCCAGCAGCACTCCTGAGCTGTTCATATGACCAGAAGCCACTGCCATTTCGTTTTCACCGACCTGTCAAAGGAGTACAAAACTGAAGTTTTGGGAGATACCATCACATCAGTGATTGTCTGCCAGATGTGCATTTCCATGAACAGGTCCAGCATTTGCTGTTTCAGCATTTCTTCTGCACTCTGCACCCTGCCTGAGGCCCCTCATACAAGTGCACAACATGAGAGTCTGCAAATAATTTCTGTTCTTCAGCTACAACACAGCTGCAGTGCCACCTTCGAGGTCAGGCCAAATACATCATTGCTCTACCTCAGTTCCTGTTCAAGGACCTCACAATCCTTTATAGATATGAGTCTCTTAAGACCCTGAGATGGCACAGAAATATCCCTCATTTTGAGTTGAGAGAAACAGAAGTACCAAGATGGAAAGTAACTCTATCAAGGTCAGACAGTGAACCTATGATGGACCTTGAAACAGATGTAAACCAGTCTTGTTCCTACAAAGAAAACCCAGTCTTCCACAGCCATTACCTTTCCCTGCTCCACTTTGCAAACACAGAACCCACAGAACATTTACCCAAGCTAACAAATAGAAAAGACTGACTAAATCTGACTACTACAAAAATAAAGTCAACAGGCAACACAGTTACTTCATCACACAAACACTAACACAGGGAATATGTGCCACGGGCAGGCTGATGGCTGCTGTTTACAGACTGGGCTGTGAACAGTGTCAGCACCTCCCAAGATTTCCAGAGTCACCACCACCACAAGTGGGTTCTTATTACAGTGATTTTAGTAACTGTCTACAATGAGGAGAAAACTGAAACACTTCAATATAGGTCATAAAATCCATTAAAAGTATTCCCTACTCTTATGCTAAGACACATTACAGGTCTTGAAACGCAACTTCCTGCCAAGATGTAAAGAACTGCGGGCCCCAAGTAATCACCAAGAACAGCTCCGATGAGGCTGATGGGGATGATGCTGACTAACAAGTTCCCTCCCCTGAGGAAAACAATTTCCTCTGGAAAAGCCTGCAACTCCAACTCCTTCTGATTGAGGGGAGACAGCCAGTCCTACGTGCTGCACAATCCCTGCAGTCCGGCTGGGGAAGGGTCCTACCTCTGTGGCTCACAGGGGTAATTATACCTCTCAGACATCACTTCCGCTGGGACTCTCACAAAACTGCACATTTTCAAAAAGTCTTTGCAGATCCCCCTTTTCAGTGGGAGAGTCTGAAGCAAACTGTTTATGTGCTTGCATATATGAGCAGAGAGCTCCATACCAGCCTGGGGCTTGTGGGCAAGAGACTGCCCTTCTTCAGCAGCTCTGAGAGCAGAGGGGAAGGAGGCGGAGTTGCTTTTTGTCCTAGCATCTTTTTCTGGGGTGAATCATCAGTGACTGGGGTCATGGGGGCATCCAGGGGAGCAGAGCCTGGAGGGGTGTCAGGGATTCCAATGAAGGAGGCAACTGGGGTGCTGGGCAATGTCCCTGGCGTGACCTGAGAAAGAGAAAAACCACACTGTTCAAAGCCACACTCCACCACACGGACCAGCCCCACTTGCTGCTTCCCCCAAGAGCATTGATCCAGCACACCACAGACACCTACTCCATTCACTCACTGCACCTACTCCAGGCATGTGCTTTCACCCTTTCCCTGCCCTGTAATGCCATTTCCCAGGCACTCACAGACTGCCTGGCCAACCCACTGACGCCCCTACACGGCCTTCGATCCAGACACCGGATCACCACAGACATGGAAGAGGACATGGATCCCGAGCAGCACTGTACACCAACCACACTGCAGCACTACGGCAGCCAAAAGTCCACAAAGCAAGGCAAGGGCTTCTCCCCAGGCCCCATCTCCGTGATGGATGCTGAGCCCCATGTCCCAGGCTGGTCTTTCCCTCCTACCTGGGATAAGGATCCTTACCCCTGGACTGGCCTCATCCCCAGCAGGCTGGGACAGATCTCCCAGTGCATATTCCCCCCCTGGGGAGGTCGAGCCGGCGGGGGAACGAACCATCACACCCGTCAGTCGTCGCGGTGGATTTTTAATGGCCTGACGAGCTGGAAGAGAATAGAAACTCAAGTGAGATTCCATGACTCCATCTTGGACAGTCCCTGAGAGTTACCTCTGACTTTATCCTGAAGAATCTTAAGAAGACAGTTTATGTTGTAGGAATTTCTTGCACCACACTAGGCTCAGTTCCCCAATAATACCAGCTTTGGGTAAGGCACCTCTAATTTAAGGTTTCTTTAGCAGTTGGGTATTTGCCACCTCCCACTACTGACAGCTCAATTGAATTAACTGCCCCAAGAGTTATAAAGGAATTAAACATTCAGAATTAATGTCACTTATCTTCATGACACCAGTGAAATTACAGCGACAACTAAAGGTGTGAAAAGCCTGACATTTTAATACAGAGCTCCTGGCTAATCCTGCTTCCTCTTACACACACCTTTCCTACAGATTTTGTTCCTTCCTCAGAAGCCTCTGCATTTTGCCCTGTTACAAATATAGTGCTGGAAAGAGAATACAACCTTTCTCTCCAACTGTAGGGTCAAGGAATTCCTACCGCAGGTCTTAGTAAGATCTAAGTATTTTCCAAGTGTTCTTATGAATATACAAATCTCTCCGAAGAAAAGGAAGGCAGCTCATCTCCAGCTTACCCTGATAAGCAGCATCTGTAGCCTTCCTCTTGACTTCTGCCTCCTCCTCCTCCATTTTTTTCTTTCTATATACAGAAACAAAACCTGTTACAGAGTGTCTCAATTCCTCCTTCACAATCAATTTACTGACCCCTCGCCCCGTTATCTCGGGACACCACCGAACTGCCCCTGCGGATTTGGGCTCAGTTCCCCTGCAGAAGGAAGCAGAGCCAGAGAATGACACACTGGGCAGAATTTCACTTCCAGCTGATTATCAAAACAGAGCAGCAAGCATGATGCTGCAAAGCATCACCAAGCTCTTTACTGAGCAACTCCAAACAATGTTCCACACAAGCTGGTATCCCCTGAGCTAAGCTAAGTGCCCCCTCAGAGGCCAAAGCATCTGCCCAGCTGCCCCATTTCTCTTCACCCAAAGTACACGAAACAAGAGATGTCTGACAGTGTCAGGGAACTACAATTTCAGAAGAAAGCACAACATGGAAATAATCAAACAACCCACATCATAATCTCATTGCACAGCTCCTCCAGTCTGTTATCCATGTGTCCGGCCTGGATCAGCTCTGCATCCTTCTTGAGTTGCCTGTAATAAGAAAACCTTCTTACTTACTGAGCACTGGACAGGACACCCGAAGCAGCATTTTCACCCCATCCCACTTAGACAATCTTTTCAGGACAAGGTTCTCAAATGTGCCACAGTTTAACACCTCTGCCATGCACCTGTATTTTTCCTGTGTTTCTTTAATAATTTTCTTCAACTCCTCAACCCTTTCTGCAGTCAGTTTCCGCACAATAACATCTTCCACAGTTTCCACAACTTCTCCCTTCTCACCACGTTTTCTCCTATAAGGGGAGAAGAAAAAAAGCTATAAACAAAACACAGAAAACTCAGCTCTCATTTCATAAATGGCTGCTGTCTATCACTCCTGACACACTCATGTACACAAAAAAAAAATCTACTTCCTCCAACTCTCTTAAATGATCTTGGACCGCACAATCTCTTCTGAAATTTTTTATCTATTGCATCCAGTGCTAAAAATTTCAGGAACAGGTCAAAGATGCAAGTCCACTAAAAATTTTCTATCTGAAAAAAAAATCAATTATTCCACTTCAGAGAAGATTCTTCTCTACCCATGAAGAAACATCTATTTTTTTTTCTCATTAACTCTACTAAAGTCCTTTTGACTCCAGTGCTGAAGATCATTCAGCACTATTACAAACAAATACTACTTTCAGACATCTCACCTTTAAGTTAATTTGATGTAAAGTCCCCACACAAAACTACTGGAATTAGTAGCAATAAATATCTGAGACCACAAAGCTGTAGTGAAAGCACTGAGAAGAAAGCTGTAAAAAACCACTGCAAAGTAGGGACAAATACAAAACATCTCCCCTTCTCACTCCTGCTGCCTTTTCTACCCCTACTCTAAACGATAAACTTATGTGCAAAGCTTCTGATCAGTAAGACCAACATGTAGTGTTTTATTCCAGCCAAATAAATGTTATCTTCCCCATCTGCCACATCCTGATCTCACTGTCCACCCACAGAAGCTGAATTTTCTCACTCCTGAACATTCCTTTAGGGAGGAGTTGGTTGGGAAGTTAACAGTAACAAGGACTTTGCTGTAAGAATGGATGAGTTCCTGCAGATTGCTGCAGACTGCGCTCAGGTCAGACTTCGTACTCACTTGGGGGTCTCCGTGGTCTCCAAGAGCTCTGAATACTGAGATGCACAGTGCTGAGAAGAAACAAAGGAAGTCAGACAACACTAAAGAGTCAGCCTGAGCTAACAACTATCAACAAAGCCCACAGGGCACTCACTCCCACTTCCTTGGAGGCCCAATGTTTTATGAACAGATATCACAGTTTTCTCCAGAGCTTCCCCCAAGGCTATAATTTAGTGTAGCTCACAGTGAGGAAGCGAAAACAAAGCTAAAGAACAGATGCTCCTGACTAGCAATTCAGAAATCAAAGCAAGCAAAAGCTGCAGCTGTAATGTTTCCGTCTGTGAACACGAACCAAAATATTTAATCGAAGAGGACAAACTAACATGACATCAAGGCCAGTTCCACAGCTCAACAGACACAGTAAGCAACATAACAACCCCAATGTCTCCTCTCTTGAGTCTCTATCTCTTTCTGTCCCTTACATGGAAAAATTAATCCTTATTCATCCTCAACATGGCACTTCTGATTATGCAGAGATCTGGTGTATTTCTGTTACTCATCTTTTCACTGTTAAGGGTTCTACCTTACTTAGCCAACCCTCACAAGGAAAGCTGTTTCATGTCTTTGATCATCCATGCCTTTTCCTTAACTTTATCCAGCTGTACTGTGAGCTCAAGTTTTATTTCAGAAACCGAAAAATAGTATTTGATTTAAATACAATTGTTTTTTTCAAAACTAATTTTGCTATCTGTTTCTAAAACATGTTCTCTCTAAAATATGTTCTCTTAGGCACCTGCTTTATATATCCCTTGCAGAACTCATTTTTTTCCAAGACTCAAATATCAGTATCTTACCTTTTGGGAAAACCAGTCAGGTGGGCGCCCTGGCTCTGCAAAAGGCTTGATGGCTCTGCTGACTGAGACCCTGAAGGAGGGAAATGGCAAGTCACCGTCAACATACTTTCTTCCCCAACTACCATGCAGAGAAAAATTGACAAGCTGTCTTGACATCACTGAATAACCCCCTAAACATGATAAACTCACCAAGGAGCTGTTATGTTTGGGAATTATTACAGTATAAAGTACAAGACTCGAAAATATTTGCCTGCTCCTAATAAACAATGCCTTCGCTCCTTTGCTTTAAAAATCAAGTTTCTAGCTTCTGATTAAATGACTGTATTTCCACAAACACCTTACTTTTGTGAGGGGGAAAGGGCAGTAAAACAGAGCTACAGGTTCAGTGCACAGGAATGTTACCAAATACTCTTCTTGACCCCAACCTACCTCATCCAATTTATGAACACAGAGAATCACCTAATGGTGTGGGACCTTTAGATCATCTCGTTCCAACCCACTGTCATGGGCAGGGACACCTTCCACTAGACCAGGTTGCTCCAAGCCCCATCCAACCTGGCCTTGAACACTTCCAGGGATGGAGCAGCCACAACTTCTCTGGGTAACCTGTACCAGGACCTCACCACCCTCACAGGAAAGAATGTCTTTCTAATCTTCACTCTAACCTTTCCTCTGTTGGTTTGAAGCCATTCCCCCTTGTCCTGTCACTCCATGTCCTTATCCAAAGTCTCTCCCAGCTCTCATCACTTTTTAACACACCTCTGCTTTTACACAATAGTTACGAAGGCAGCGAAAAGCCTGTGCAGGTACATCTCTAACCCCTTTGACACCCCATCTTTGTTCTGAACAGAGGCGGGGGGGGCAGCCCCGCGCTTTGCCCCGGGCACCCGGAGCCTCGCACACGCTCTGGTTCCTCGCTCTGTGCTCCCGTACCAGTTCTGGTCGCCGCTGCGCATGACGGAGGAGGCCAGGCAGAGCTTCTCGCGGATGGACCAGGGCTCGGTGGGGCCGGCGCTCAGCAGCTTGTGCTCTGCGGGACAGGGCAGGAGTGCGCGGGGGCAGCGCCCGGAACGCCGCGAAGGGAGCCCGGGACAAGGACTGGCCCCGCCCCTCCCCGCCGAAGCCCCGCCCCTGCCCCGAACCCTTGGCCCCGCCCCCCGTGCACTGTTTGCCCCTACCCGGGAGGGCCTTTGGCAAGCGCTCCGTTCCTCTCGGGCCGTTTCCCTACTCCCCTCCCCGCCACAGCCCCGCCGCCGCTCGCTCCCTGCCGCCTCTCCCGCCCGGCCCGCACTCACTGCCCGTGCCCGCCGCCATCTTCCCCGCCCGGCCCCGAGCGAGGCGGGGGCGGTGCCGTGCGCAAAGCCCGCCGGGAGGGGCGCGAGCGCCACGCCCCCTCGCACCCCTCGCCCCGTCCGCAGGCCCGTTGGTCGGGCTCCGCCCCCGCTGCCCCGGCGGCGGTCGCTGATTGGCCGCAGCGCGCGCGCGCCGCGTCGCCATTGGCGGAGCGGGCGGGCGGCGAGGTTTGAAATGCCGACGGTCGGTGCGGGGCGGGCACGAGGGGCCGGAGCGGCGTGAGGGGCGGCCGGCGGGGCTGCGGGTTCGTCTGTGTCCGAGGAACCTCGTGTGGCAGCTGTACCTGTGCGGGCAGGCCCTGCGCCGTGCTCTCTGGCGTGTGCGCTGTGGGGGGCGGCCCGTGAGGAGCTGAGTGTGAGTTTGTATGGGGTGTCCGGCGTGGTGGTCGGTGTATGCGTTAGCTCTGTTTGATGGTGTGAGTGCGTGGGGTCTTACGTGGTGCTCTGAGTGTGTCTGGAGTCCTGGGTGGTGTTTGTGCGTCCCTTGTTGGTCTATGTGTGCAGGAGGTGGTTTTGGGGTCCCGGGTGGTGTTTGTGTGTGCAGAGGTGGTTTTGCAGTCCTGAGTGGTGTTTCTGTGTGCGGGGGGTGTTTTTGGAGTCCTGAGTGGTGTTTGTGTGTGTTGGCAGGTGGTGGGCTAGTTTTGGGAGGTGGCTTCGGGGTGGTGGTGTTGTGTGTGCAGGGGGTGGCTTTGGGGTCCCGGGTGTGTTTGTGTGTGCAGGAGGTGTCTTTGGGCTCCCAGGTGCTGTTTGTGTGTGCAAGGGGTGTGTTTGAGGTCCTGGGTGGTGTTAGTGTGCAGGGGGTGTGTTTGGGATACTGGGAGGTGGTGGGGTTGTGCACGTTTGCAGCAGCATCCTGTATGTCTGTGTGTAGGGATAGTTCCACGAGCAGTCCATGTGAAGGTTGATGGATGTGGTAGTGGGGTGTATCCGCGGGGAGCAAAGCTTGGGCTGCTGTAACATCATCCTTTCCTGTGCCCTTTTTTCCCCAGGAGCTCTGTGAGACATCATGGCAGAAGCACTTACCTCCCCAGGGCTGTTCTCTGACGATGAGATTGCAGCCTCCCCTGTGCTCGAGTCCACAGCAACTGGGTTTGGGGCTGATTTGCGCAAGGACCTGCTGTCAGAGTTCTCTGCCATCTCCCCAAACCTGGAGAGCTCCCAGGTGAGGTTAGAGCTCTTTTGTCCCAAACAGGGCAGTGTTCTCACTCATGGCTGCTGGTCTCTGTACAAAGCTGATTTTGATGCAGGAGCAACAGAAACTCTACAAAAGAGGCTTGAACTCAAATTGTTGCATTGGTGGGAGCAGTTCCTCTTAGGAGCAGTGGACTGTGAAGGGCATAGTCAACGAATGCCTTGTAACAGCTGGGAGTCTCTTGGGGTGGTGCTTGGTCTGGGCACTGGTTTTTGTGTCAGGTGTTTGGGTTGTTGGTCTGATTCATTAGATAAACAAAGAAAAATGCTGGTGTGCTTGGAAATGCCTAAGAAAGCTTCTGGCATTGCTGGTGTTTCTGGGACCAGAAAAGTTCCTGAGCACTGACTGGGCTAGCCAGTATGTGTGTGGATGCTGTGGTCCCTGTTATCTGTTCTGATGGGTGGTTATGTGCTGCCTCTCTGGTTGCCATGTCTAACCTGCGCTGATTTTTTGCAGGCTGTAGCTGATGACAATAATGGCAAATTGAAGGTCTACCTAAGAGTTCGACCTCTGAAATCTACAGAAGTGGAAAAAGGGGAAGACCAGGTGAGACACCAAATGAAGCAGGTTTTGAGCTGGCTGTGTGCCTGCTGGGAGAGGCTGTTGTCCTTTACTGTCTATGCCGTGACCACGGCACTAATGGGTTTTATGTGTTCTTTAGGGCTGTGTCTACATTGAGAACTCAGAGACCCTTCTTCTAAAAGCTCCTAAGAACTCCTTCGCCATGCGGTGCATGGAACGTGGAGTGGGACAAGCGTTGCACAGGTTCTCTTTCACTCGGGTAGGTGACTGGGACAAACAATCAATCCATCTGGAAGTTTTCTGATCTTAAACCAGCCTTACAGCTTGCAAAGGTGCCCTATTGATACTCACCCATCTCAAGGCACTGCCTGAGCTCTGCAGTCTCATACAATCCTCTACGTCAGTTTTTCTCTTACTATTAGTTTTTCTCTTTTTAAGCTGCTCCTGACAGCCTTTTTTGGCAGCAAATGCCAAACTCTTGTTTTGCTCATGAGCCTGTAAACAGGCTAGAGGCTGCAGTGATATCAAATGTTACTGGATTAAGCAAAGGAACAGCTTGTTTTTGTAAGGGGCTCAGCTGGAATTGCTGGTGGGTTGGTTGCTCATGGCTAGTGGAGGGTAATATCACTTGAGCAACCATCAGCAGTCAAAGGACAGGAAAGATCTACATGAGGCTCTTTTCTGTGTCTTGCTTGCAGATCTTTGGACCAGATGTGGGGCAGAAATTGTTCTTTGATGAGACAATGAAACAGGTGATAAAGGATGTACTGAATGGGCAGAACTGTCTGGTTTATACCTACGGCATTACCAATTCAGGGAAGACTCACACGATTCAGGGTAAGGAAAGCACCAGGTGTTAGGAGTCTGTTGAGGGATTGTCTTCTGCTACATGTGAATCCTCAGCTTGCTGCTGTTCTTGCCTCAGGCACCAACCAAGATGGGGGGATTCTGCCTCGCTCCTTGGCAACCATCTTCAACAGTGTGGGGGACAAGCTGTACCAAGCCATGGACCTGAAGCCTTCCCTCTCCAACGAGGTGATCTGGCTGGACAGCAGGCAGGTGAAGCAGGAAGAGACTAAGAAGCAGATGATGCTGCAGGGGGGTCTCTGGGAGGTAAGCATGGGGCTTCTGGGAGGCTCGATAGCAACAGGAGAGGGATGGTGTCATGCCACCTACATGCTCATGTTCTTGGTTTCCTTCAAGGAGGAGCTGTTAACGCCACTGAAGAGGAGTTGCAGTGCTGAATCTCAGCTCCAGGCCACCAACAGTGGCAGTTTTGACAGTGGAGTTGCTGGCCTCTCTTCATCCAGCCAGCTCACCAGCCGTTCAGACCTCAGCCAGACTGAAGGTATGTCTGGAAGCCTGTTGTGTACTACCTGCTTCTTGTTGCTTGTGGTGGAAGGAAGGGTAATGGCAGTTTGGATGCTGTGTTGTGGATAAGGGAGCAAAGGTGCTGTAGACTCACAAATATTCCCCTTGAAAAAACGTGGATGTCAAGGCAAGAAGAACTTTGTGCATATTTTTTGCCAATATTGGAAGAATTCCCTGCTGCCTAATAACCAAGCCATGTGAAATGAAAAGTTACTTGCCCCTCACTCACTCCATTCAAGGAATGTGGTTATTGAGCAGCTGATTGCTAATTGCAGCTGATTTAGGGTGCTAAAGTGACATGCTGCACTGAGCACTTGTGCCCAGACTTTCAAACCCAGGAACTACCAAATGTTTAGGTACCCAGAAGCATGGAGTGATTGAGGTAACAAGAACTAAAACTTCACTCATGTTGGAAGGAGTTCATGTTTGAAATGTCCTGTAATTCTGGAGTCAAAATCCGGTATATAAAAAGCCCTTACACAGAATAGAAGGAAACTTCAGGCTGTCTCACTGGAGACAGGCATTAGAGTAGATACAAATGGGAAGAGCTATATAGAAGAAGTTGATTCTGGGGTGGTTTTTCCTGCTAAAGAATGTATTTCATTCTACAGCTAAACCATTCCAGTTGCACCTGTGAAAAGCTGCAGTCAAGATTTGTTTTTCTTTTTTTTCCCCAGAACTGGGCCCTCTGTGGGCTGATTTGGATCGGATTTCACTCACCAGTGCAGGAAATGTGCAGTTCTCCATCTGGGTCTCCTTCTTTGAGATTTACAATGAGTTAATCTATGACTTGTTAGACCCAACTCTCTCTGGACAGAACCGCAAGCGGCAAACACTGCGGCTCTGCGAGGACCAGACTGGCAACCCCTATGTGAAAGGTAGATTTACCTGGAAGGGATCTTTAGTGGCTTTCTAGGAAGACTTTAGGATTGAGTGGGTGGGTGGCTTAGCACTGACGCATTGGGGAGCCCCACAGAGACTTCTGATGCTTGGATTATAGAATGCCAAGCTTAATGTCAGGGAAAAATGATGAAGTTGTGGCTGAGATAAGTTTTCTGCCAGTCTCCTAAACTGCTGTGCCCAATGCATGCTTGCTTTCCCAGATCTGAACTGGTTCAATGTCCAGGATGCTAATGAAGCCTGGAAGCTCCTGAAACTGGGTCGGAAAAACCAGAGTTTTGCCAGCACCCACATGAACCAGAACTCCAGTCGCAGGTCTGAGGGCGAATGGGGGCTGTTTAGGCAGAAATGCAACTCTGAGGGGCTTTTGAAGGTCATTTCATTTTTTTAAAATATCTACTGTTTTCTTTACAGTCACAGTGTTTTCTCCATTCGGATTCTGCACTTGCAAAGAGGTGGCAATGAAGTTGTTCCAAAAATCAGCGAGTAAGTTTCGTGCTTTCTGGGATTTGGGGGTGTTCTCAGTGGATTCACCTTTCCTTCTGTCTCTTCTGTTGAGGACCTGGGGTATGGGAAATATCTTGATAAAGGTTTTGTTGAAAGGAAAGAAGTAAACATTCCCAACCTTAAGTCTGGGAACTGACAGGAGTTTGAGGAGTACTGCAAAACACAGCTTGAGGTAGTTCTCAGCCTTTTTGAATGAAGGTAAATGTGAGTAACCCTAGCCTTAGAGCAGGAACATGCCTGTTCCTGGGATGTCGCTACCTGGAAATGGGTTGTCTCAGTACCTGGGAAATGGTTGTTTCATGGACTGGCAAAGGATCTTTGAACTTGACACCACCTACACTTAGGGTAGGCCCTTCCATCCAGCAACAGCCCAGGCACCCCAAAGGAGCGTTCCGTGTACCTATGAGGAAGCTGGGAAGGTGACTGCAGGGTGTCTGAATCGTAAACCTGGATAGAACAGGACAAACCCAGCAGATTGTGTAAAAATCACTGTGTTTCCTCCAGGTTGTCCCTGTGTGACCTGGCGGGGTCCGAGCGCTGCAAGGACCAGAAGAGCGGGGACCGAATGAAAGAAGCCAACAACATCAACACCTCCCTGCACACGCTGGGCCGCTGCATCGCCGCCCTCCGCCAGAACCAGCAGTCCAGGTGAGCATCCAGAGCTCCAGAGGGAGGGTGTGGCAAGGCTGTTTTGCTTTCCCAGCTCACCCCCAGTCTCTCCCCACAGGACAAAGCAGATGGTGGTTCCATTTCGGGACAGCAAGTTGACCCGTGTGTTCCAGGGGTTCTTCACTGGGCGCGGGCGCTCCTGCATGATTGTCAACATCAACCAGTGCGCGTCCACTTATGATGAGACTCTGTATGTAGCCAAGTTCTCAGCCATTGCCAGCCAGGTGAGTAGCACACACCAGGATCACAGCATGGTCAGGGTACATCCTGCTTCTGTGGTAATGGGCCCTTTTCCACAAGAAGAGGGAGGCACAAGTCTTTCCTATGCTTCTCCGGTGGGTTATTTTACTCTGGAGTATTCCAGATTATGCTAAACTGACAGGTTGCAGAGAAGGGCTGTGTTTAAAGATCTACGCAACTTTCAGGCTTTGCACACAGCAGTGATGGTCTTTTCAGCTTGTTCAGGCGCCTCCCACAAAGCTGGGACTTCCATCCCTACAATCCATCATCAAAGAGCACAGTAGGAGAACCAGCCAGCAGGCAGAGGCAAAGGAAGAAGTGGACTCAGAAGAAGATGAAGACACTGAGGATGAGGCAGATGTCTCCATGTATGAGAAGAAGGTGGGTTGTGATTTGTTTTGCAGCCTTATGGATGGAAGGGCAAGAACATGACTGTTAGTTTGGCCTGGGAGGTGGGACTGCAGCTTGGCACTATGCCAAGAGAGGTGACAGAGAACCTCAGAAGGATATAGGACCTAGGAAATTGGGAATCTATGACAAAAATATTTCATAGTTGGCCTAAACATGACACACAAGCTTAATTTGGAAACACTGTCATCTGTGGAATAGTGACAGTAAGAGTGGGGGTGCAAACCTGAAATCTAGAGATCAGAAAACATGCAGAACAGGTGGCTAAATTGAGGAAAACCAATCAACTTCCTAGATACTCAGGCAGCTGGGATAGATGGAAGTCACACAGCTACAGAGACTTAAGCTGTCATGTGTCAAGGTAGCAAACCCTGGCAACTTCTCTTTCCAAGCCACTAAAATAATCTTAAATCTAGATCACTGCAGCCTGCAGACACAGGATCACTTAGTCAATTCCAGGTTTTAACTCTGTTGTGCAGTGTGGGCAGTGGAGCTGTGTCCTTCTTGCAGGACTTGTTGCGTGCAGCAGAAGCTGCGCGAGAGCTGCTGGTGCAGGAGCGGCTGAAGAAGCTGCAGCTCGAGATGCACCTGCGCGAGGAGATCTGCAATGAGATGATGGAGTACATGCAACAGAAGGAACAGTGGTGGAGGTACAGCCTGTGCTGATCCCCCTCCTTCTGCTCAGGCTGAGCTGCAGCACCCAGAACCGCCGCACCCTGACATGGAGTTGTTTGTTCTCTTTGTAGCCAACATGTGGATACTCAGAGGGAGCAGCTGGAGGAGCTGTATGAGGAAAAATTGACTATCCTGAAGGAGTTATTGACTGACCATTACCAGGAGAAAATCCAGGTTTGTTCAGGGCAATGAAATAACATCAGGAAAAAGGCAGTGGGGTTGGGAGAGTACCTTGAGTCCAGGACAATGTTTATGCAAATTGAAAGATGTTGCTTTCTGAGGTATATTTGTAATATTATTTGATTGCTTGATCCACAATTTTTGCTTCTTGTCTCTTCCTTTACATAGTTCACTAGGCTTCCTAATTTTCAACAACTTAGTCTGGAAGCTAATGTGCAATCCTCGTGACTACTCCATGTATTCAACATGATTTTCTCCTCACCTTACTCTTTTCACTAGAGGCTTGCTTTGCACTCTTCAGGTTCACATTGGATGTGTGAATTTCTCTTCTTGCTCTAAGTTGTGATGATGGGTATGGGCCTGTTTTTCATGCCATGGCATTTGGGTGGCCTCTGGGACTTGTTGTAGACCCCTTGGAAGATGCCAACTCTCAAAAAAATCCCTTTTCTTTAGAGGCGGTAAAAAAGTTGTTTAGGCTCCCAGGAAGTGAGTTTACTGTGCTCACTTAAAGGCTGGGTCCAACATGTGAAGTGTGGGATTGAGGAAGTCTCCAGGAAGAAAGTTTCAGAAAAGCTGTGGTAAGAAAATCTTGTTAAATATTTGAACAAACTTCCTTTCTAAGGAGCGCGATGAGGAGATTTTGGAGCTCCAAGCTACTCTGCGGGAGACCAAAGAAAAACTGGAAAGTCTGGATACCAAGGAAAAGGACACGGAGCAAGGCTTACGTCGATCCAAGCGAGTGGCTTCCTCCTCATCTGCTGTGCAGAAGGAGCTGGCAGATACCAAAGCCAGACTGGAGCAGTGTCAAAGGGAGTTACAAACCACGACTGCAGGTATGGCAGTGATGTTGCACTGGTTCTGAACTGTGCCTGAGAAATCACTGTACAGGGTTAGACTTTCTTCAGAGTACCTTGGATTCAGACACCCTGAAACCATGATTCTGAGTTGTAGACAACAGGGATTTTGTGCTGGATGGGCAGTTTCTCTTCATTTTCACTTGAAAATGGACTTTAGGGCAGGATAATCTCCCTGTTCAAATTCTCAAGTCCCTTTGTGTAACTGAAAGGGAGAAGCCTGGAATGTTTGTGCAGGTCTGTACAATCTCAAAGCTCTTCTTGGCTTGCCTGTGGCAGCTTGTCTCAAGGCAAGTCCTGAACTTCAGGAATACTGAAAGCTGATGAATATCCTGTTGCTCACTACTTTTTGTCTGTTCCTAGAGTTGCACAGGTACCAGAAATTAGTGGAGCCACCTCCCTCTGCCAGACCCATTACTATGGATGTAGACAGGAAGCTGGAGGATGGACAGAAGGTAACTCCAACTGTGTTACAGAAAGGAACACTTGCAGGGCAAGGTGGTTGCCAGTATAAACATGTTTGGGGCTGCTGTTTCCAGGTTTTTAAATAGATGGTTGAAATGGGCTTGTTGAACGTACTGGAGATGTTGATGGTTGTGGTATCTGTGATCTCAGTGTATCTCACACAGATGGGAATCCTCCCTCAGTGCTGCATGTCTGAATTACCTTGGAGTGGCTTTGTTTGCAGAGCAGTGCCAAACCCACCTGTTTTGAATCTCTCTCCTGCAGAATGTCAGGTTGCTGCGTTCAGAGTTACAAAAAATTGGGGAGTCTCTCCAGTCTGCAGAGCGAGCATGCTGCCACAGCACAGGAGCAGGGAAGCTCCGAGAAGCCCTCTGCACGTGTGATGACATTCTGGCCAGACAGGTAATGTGTCTGTTTTGTTGGGGGTTGCACGGAGGGGGGTGTTTAGTCAGAGTAACCTCAGTTCTATGCTGCAAATAAAAATTACTTATTTACTAGTGCATACTATTACATGAAGGAACTAGACTGCTGATTTTTCAATGCAGCATTTAACTCTCCAAAGGAGACCCAAATAGTTCCTGTTAACTGCCAGCCTGTACCTAAAGTAGGAGAACTTGGAGTTCTCATTTCCTTATCCACTTGAACACAGTTGCTACATGGCAGCATATCTGCAGCAAGATGGAGTTCCTATTTGTTATTGAACTTCTCAGTGTTGACAGCAGAAACTTTGAAGCATGGCCTTGTTTAGTAGAACAGTGAATGAATTTTCGCAAAAGGCAGTTTATCCTCCTCAGTTCATAGTAACCAGGGAGTTAGACAACTTGTCATAGTACTGAAGGGAGCCTATAAGACAGATGGAGAGGGACTTTTTACAAGAGCATGGAGTGGCAGGACAAGGGGGAATGGCTTCAAACTGACAGAGAGTAGGTTTAGATCAGATATTAGGAAAGAATTCTTTACCTGTGAGGGTGTTGAGGCCCTGGCAGAGGTTGCCCAGAGTTCTTGTGGATGCTCCACCCCTGCAAGTGTTTAAGGCCAGGTTGGACCAGGTTTGTAGGAACCTGATCCAGTAAAAGGTGTCCCTGTCCACAGCAGAGGGGTTGGAATGAGATGATCTCTGAGATCCTTACCAACCCAGATCTATGATATATATTTTTTTATATAAATATATATATATTGCCTTCCCTTCATCAGGACCAAACCCTGGCAGAACTGCAGAACAACATGATGCTGGTCAAGCTGGACCTGCGGAAGAAGGCGGCCTGCATTGCCGAGCAGTACCACACGGTGCAGAAGCTCCAGGCTCCTCCAACATCCACCCTCAAGAAACGCTTCTGTGCCAACAGGGAAAACCTACAACCTAATCAGCCCCCTGGTAAAAAGCCCTTCCTGCACAACCTCCTGACACGTTCAGCCACCCGTACTGCTGCTGCCAGAGGGTGGCAACTTCGTTCAGTCGCTCTATGACTTTTCAGAAGGAGATCCCTGCCCTTCTGTTACTGGAACAGGTGGCAAATCCAATATAATGGCATCTGGTTTTCATTGTGCGCTTGTTTATTGTTATTGTAGCTGCTTGAGAGCTTATGTAAACATTTCTGGGTATGTATCGATAAACTTTTAATCAATACCAAAGTGGACAAAGTGACCTTTTGTAATTTAAACACTACACCGAGGAAAGTCCTTAACTATAAAATAACGCAGACGATCAAACTTGTTTAACAAACAGACAAGTTAAAGGTGAGTTGCCATCTTCAACTATGTTGGCACACAATTCAAAAATAAGTTCACAAGTTCCTCCTTGAAAGATATTTTGCCTTCCTTGAATTATAATCCTTTATTAAAGTATACACGTTCTAGGCCGGGGCTGTTCTCTTGGATCTGGGCTTGCAATTCTGGCTCCAAGCGTGATACCGACATAGAACTGAGCAAAAGAAACGGAAAATGGTTACATAAAACAAGCACTTGAGGGTAAAATAAGATGGACGATGCATCTGGTTAAACTTCCTGGACTGTGAAAGAGTTTTCAGATATTTTTAAATGTCTTATAAGGGAAGAAAACCAGACCCAGGGCAAATGAATCCCCGCTCAAACAGCAGTAAGACAGTCTACAGAGTCAGAAATGGTGTTAGGATCCACTTGCTCAAGATTGTTACTGGCAATAGAAACTTACCTTCCTAAAGGTGTTTTTATTACATATAATGTATTTACCTATTTAACTTACTACCTGCTTTTATTCAGTTGAGTAAAAGGTTTATTTTTATGAGAGCCAGTTCACAGAAAAGTGAATTAAGCTGCCAGGTCATTTGAACAGCTGCAATTTCCTGAACACAGTTCAAGGTCTTCCTCTGAACTGGAGGGCCCTGGCTAAAATCAAGACCTGTACCACGTGTGCTAGGCTGGTTTGTCAAGTCATCTCCAGGTAGCCTAGTGACACTTGTTTACCACAGCTCTCTGTCCTAGGCCAAGCAGGGAAACAGATGGTGTCAGATGGCTTTGTTGTACTCAAACACTTGCATCTGATGAGAACTGGGTATTGTTTTCTGGAAGTCAAAGCTACCTTAGTTGTTCAGTGTTTTTTTTTTTTTTTAAGGGATTCAGCTCCAGCTTAGATTGTTTAAGCTACATATGGCAACCTGTTTAGACAACCATTATTAATATGAGGGACAGCTCAGTTGAATTTAAGGCCCTGTCCACACTACATGCCAAACTGAGCTAAGTTCATTTGTAAATAACTCATTCAGGCTTCATAATTATTTCAGCTAGAAACAATTTTCACTATAAGACAATTTTCAATACTGAGCTATTTTTGTATTGATGAAAAAGTCTCTAAGAAATATTAATCAAATTACAAATAAGCACAGATAGTCCAATGCTGTTCTGTATAACTAGAAGAGTTTCCAGCTGAAAATAAAATGGGCTCTGACTGTATCTAATGCATCTGTAACCTTCTTGGACAGAAATATATTGTATAAATCTCATCTTGAGCTGCTAGGGGTTTGTAAACAACTATTATATATTACTGATGAGTAACATAGGTATTACTTTTCTGTATATTCTCTTCTTTATCACCTTTGTTATATGGGAAATAAAACTGTGTGCTTGACCAGGCAATGACCACTCGTTTCTGTCTGTGCATGGATCTGGAGCATAACATTAAAATGAGAATAATAACAGCAATACCCACCTTTTCTGAGGAAACAGTGCACAACACAGGGGAGTTGCAAACACAAGACTAGAGGAGACAAAAATGGGATTACAATATTTAGGGTGCTAAAAGAGACTTCACAGCAAATTAAACTCTCTATTAACCAAATGTTTCAAGAATTCATCAGCCTCCAGGATTAGACTCCACTGACTTTATGCAGGGAGCAGCCAAAGCACCTTTTCTAATCAAGCTGCCACATGCCTTTTTTTGCCACTCCTTTTCCTCCTCTCTCTGCTTTTCTTGGCAGCTTCTTCCTTGCTAATGGCTTTTTTGTTTTTAACTAGGTATTATCAGTTACAGAGATGGAAGTGAAGTAACTGTTGCAGCCTCATTAACCCTCTCAACCTTTTTTTTCTTTGAACAAAGTACAGATATAGCTACTTTCTCAAAAAACCTACAAGTATCTCAAAACAGCAGACCCAACCCAAAGAAATCACTTACCAGACTCCAACTAATCCAACTTGAATGGGGGCACTCAGCCAAGGATATCTCTGTTGAAAATAAACCACACACAGTGAGTATGGTATCTTATCTTCTCCCTTCCCCCTTTCTGGAATTCTTGTTTTCTAAGAGATAGACTGCACCTAAAAGACCCTTGGACATGAAGGCAAACTCACAGCCAGTGTACCTTAAAGCTGAGCTCCAGTTTGAGAGCCAAATCCCTTTGAAAAGAAGTAATGAAATTCCCAGTGAAAACAATATACATTGTGATCCTGAGTACGTGCCCCTTAGAAACTCCAACATTGATTTAGGATGTGATCCTGAGCCCCTGGGCCTTCTCTTTGAGTCACACAAGCCCACAGTGGCAGGACATCTGAAATTTGGCATGGTGCTACCACATCTCTGAAGAGCTCAGTGAATTTTGCCCAGGCATTCTATGGAAGAGCTTGGTCTGGTTATGGCTCCTTTGGTGACATTAAATGGTTCTAATGTGCAACCGGAACCACCAGCCATAAAAGAGGGAGATGTCAAGGAAAAGGTAAGTCTGCCTCTCTTAGTCTTTTGTCCTGTCATATGATTTCCCTTAATGTGTAGAACTTGTCCCTGTAGCAACATTCCAGTTCTGCAAGAATTCACCTTTCATTGAAAGAAAAAAGGGCTGAAGGATCAGGGAAACATAGCTGAGAAAGCAACTCACAACCTATGGATGCATTTTTAGTATACTCTTCATTAGTGTAACTTTTGCAGAACTTGAACATATGCCAAGAAATATAGCTTTTTTGCAGACTTTTAAAATCCACTCCCCCACATGTTAGAATTTTAGTTGAAATTCATTACTAGTGAAGCAAACCCAGACCTGTTCAATGGACACTGCCGGGACACCAAAAGCAGTGTCTCAAAAGCAGGACATACACAGCTGCCATGAAAACACAAAGGGGAGTTTAAAACAAAACAGCTCACGAGTTAAAAATCACATGATGCAGTGGATGATGTTTTCAATGAAGATGTTTGTTTCTGCAAGAAGCATTTCTCAAGATCCAGAAGTTAGAGGGGAAGCTGATGAACAAAAGCTGGGCACTAGTTGAGAGTAGAAATGGACAAAGGAGATGCAGAAAGCTCAGGGGGACAAAGCTGGGGGCTGAGGAAGGTCACAGCAGCTGAGGAGGCAGAGAAAACAAGCCTGTTTGGAGTAAACTTTCTCCAGGGCCTAAGGGAGAAGAAATGATGTAGAAGACTGCTTCTCTTTTATTTTTTTTTTCCTGGAGTCAATCTGTAATCCAGAAATGAGTGTGGGAAGAACTGTGCAATTCAGCAATAACCTGCAACAGATAACAAATGGGAACAGGGAGAGCAGGAAGGGTAAAGAGTGAAGGCAGCAGAGCTTTGCTGTTCTGGCATTCCCTAAACACCTTCATTTGACTCTCAGCTGAGATAATTCATCCAAAATTCTTTACATTTTATACACTGGGAGAGTCCATGACAAGAGATGTGAACACAAAGTCATTTGTCTACTGCAAATGACTTCTGTCTCTGAGAAGGAAAGGAGAGGGATGCTACATGTTGCAGTGGGAACGTGGGACCTAAAATACGTTAACAGAAAAGCCCCAAGTATAATTTTATAACTGAAAAGGCTGTTGGAAGGTGCCATGAGAGGAATAGATGGATTCGTGCCTTTGTCAGAGTCGGTCATTGATCTGAAAGAGGTGTTGTCTAGTACAGACTCTATAAACAACATCTAGTTCATGTGCTGGAACAGTTTTTGCCAACTTGATCTGAGTTACAGCCTTGCTTTTTCCAGAATGTTACCAGACTGCACCAATCAAGAAAGATGGTGAGGAAAAACTCTTAACACTGTGGGGTCAATATTAAGAACTGCACTTGCCCAGGAAACAAAGCAATAAAACAAAACTCAAATGCAGGCTGCACACCTCTACAAAGAGATAAAATGGAGAAGCACACGACAGACAGCAGAAAAACTGACTGTGTTAGAGAACTATCCTTTAACTCCGGAAGAAGGCAGCTCCCAATGAATTAGGATCTGATTTCCAGATGTCTTTATGACATTTTAGTGGTTAGTGCAAACAGAGAAAATGGAGAAATGATAATTAAGCAAACAAAAGCCTTAAGGAGAATCATCTTTTTTCTAACTGTTTCCTTTCATTGTTGGATCTAAAAATCTGCCAGCTTTCCCAGGCCAGTTCTGCCTGTTTTCAAAAAAAAAAATAAATGAAATGACAGTGAAATTAGGAATGTATGGAAGACTGCAGGGCATAAAACAGTCAAGAACAATGCTTGAAAAAAAAGCTCTCTGTTCTGGTTTTGTAACAGTTTTGAATACAGATTTCAGCTGCAGACTAAGAGACCCCAAAGATACTTGTTTTAAAGATATATGAGGAAATTTCTGGAAAAACTTGGATGTTAATACAGTATGCAGAACAGGAGAGAAATGAAGCTGAGCTGGAAGAGCAATAACAGAAACTAAAACTTTAGTGTTTGAGTTTTCATAAGTTTTTATGGAAAAAAACAATTTCTTTCTTTAGGAGAAAAGTTACTTGTAAATAAAGTCTATAAATCCTGTGCCTCAGAGCAAGGTTGTTTATGGATCCTCCTGCTGCCGTAGGTAAAATGCCTCAGTTTTACAAAGAGCTAGTCAGGTGTATGTCAGTAGGGATCAAGAAAATAGACATTATGCAGCCTAATCAACTACTACAACACTGCATAATCACCTAAAATGGTCCCAGAGCTGCTGCTGAAACCTACAGCAAAATCAGATGTACATATAAAAATACTCTTTCAAATCAGAAATAATTAGATGCTTTTTGAAGCAGTAAGTATGTGCCTGTGTTCTAAAACCATTCTTGAGTCCCTTTCTAGCAATAAC